ACCAAGTAAAAATAATTTCCAACAGAAAATTGTCAAAATATACCCAAAAGTGTTGTTTCCCTATATAAACTATAGTAAACTTTACCCCCTCCCCAAGGGAGAACGGATAGGTCGGGGGTCCTGAAATTTACAATTTAAAGAAAGCCCCTGATGATCTTTCCATCCATGCAGAGAAAATGACTGTCATACCTCTGAGTCTGAAGAAGAAGATTTTTGAAATATTGGTTAATTTTCCCTTTTGGGCCCCGCCCTGGCCCCTAGCGTGGGGGTAGGAATCCCAATTTTACAATTTGGTATCCTCATCTACCAAGGATAATTCTGACCAAGTTTGAAAAAATTCCATCCACTGGTTCTTGAGAAGAAGTTGATTATGTAAAAGTTTACGGACGACGGACGACGACGGACGGGAGGTGATTGGAATAGGTCACTTGAGCAAAGCTCAGGTGACCTAAAAATATAGAAAATGTACAATATTTAGAAAGACTTTCGTAATTTCGTACAAATGTACAAAGTTTACAGATGAGACGCAAATGAGAAAGTTGTGAAAGGCTTTTTGGTTGTCAATTATCAAGTGCTTCGGTCGAATTATCTAAACCTTAAAGTAACTGTAGGCAAGGTGACCTTCTAGATTATATAAAACCATAATATTTTGCTGAAAAGTATCTGTTTGCCCGTTTGTGCTTAATGACGCGTTTGGTTATAACGCATTCCAAGGTTTTACAAACAATTGATGTCAAGCTGATGGATTCATAATTTCTTTTGTATGTATGACACACACTTTGGCTATTTTCCAGTCAAGAGTCTTGTGGTAGGTCTGCAGTGGACCACAGGGTCACGTTACAATCATGCATATATATATGCTATACTGATATGGGTCACAACACACATAAACATGTTCATGTGTGTTGTGACCCATATCAGTATAGCATATGTGTGATTGTAACATGACCCTGTGAGTGGACAGTGACTGATTAAGATTATTGTCTGATCGGAAAAACAATGACTGTATTATTCAGGTATGCCTAGGACATTCAATTGACCCTTAAGAGTATGTTTTTGACTCCTAAAATAAGTTTTTTGACTCTTGGATTTGATAGAATATGTCTATTAAACCAGGGAAAATCCTGGAATTTGAGAGCAGTGGGTCATTTCAGCAATTTTTAGTCAATATCAAATTTAAGAGGGGCCATTCAATGTAAAATTAAAAGAAAATTGGAACATGGATTCAGTTTTGAAGGGTCAATGGCCCCCTCCCCGTTAAACAGTGTTTCGAGCCTCAAAAATTAAGGGAAAATGTTATTTGACTTCTGAAATTGCAAAATGTCAAGAGTGAACTAAAATCCCTGAATGCTGGGTGTAGGTCATCATACTGTCTTGAGGACTTCTCCGATAACCGGTTTGACGGGTAATGCTCTTTTTATACCCAGCGAGACCCATACTCTTTACCAAGCAGGGGCAAAATAAAATGTCGGCACTTCCTTAGAAACGATAAAGATGGGAAAGATCTCCAAACCAGAAAAAAATATTTTGAAAAAAAAAAAAAAATCTCAATTGAAAGCTTTTTACCTTGCACTGTCAGCTTTAACTTTGAAAGAAACATGGAGGAGTTCCATTTCCTCATGATCAGTTGCCTTTATTTCAAATGTAAATCTCTTGCTTCCCTCAGTTACAAACACCTAATGAATTGTTTTTAAAGGACATCTGCGTTTTCTTTATCTCGTGTAACTTTAGTAGAATTCTTGTTTCCTAGTTCTGTAGGTCCAGGTCACCCATAATGGTGTTTATGTTGATGTATCTCCATAACCTTTTGGTTTGATTTGGCTTCCATTGCCAGAATGTATTCAAAATTTTCCAGAAATTGGGGTGAGCTGTCTTACTTTGTTTGTATCCTGTTATACTCCTTCCTCAGAACACTTTGGGGTCTATATTAGTGAATGCCTTCCGAGAAAGTTAGTGGGGTTTTTCTAATCAATTCAAGTTAAGACTTGACCGCTGGGAAGGTGCATCTGATGTTGTTCCCACGCCTGACATTGCTGTGGGGACATTCTTCTCTTCCATCCTTTACAATCTTTTTGAAGATTTCCCAATTGAATCGTTTCATAGTTCAATCCAGTTAACTAATTTCACTGTTTATTTCTGATAATAAATATGGCTTTTTTATAACATTTCTTATGTTTTTTCCTGATAATTTTTGTGGCTTTACATTCAACACTGAACAATAGAACACCGTGATCACTTTTCCCAAGTGGACTTTAGCTTGAACAGCTGGGATAACGTAGCTTCTGACGACGAGACAATTTTCATATATTGTTAAATTATTATATTGCGTGGCCAGCCGAAGCAGAGGGGGCCAGGTAATAATATTAGTACTATTGCTTCTTACATAATCATTACAAGGTCAAACATTTGAAAAGTATTGTAACCTCTCTTTCTGGTTGGTTGATTTACTTGTTGGAAAAGATGTTGTCTTGAAGTATCTGTATTAATTTCTATTTTTGAGATACAGTGCCATGCCTGGTGTATTCCATCATAAATGTGTCCTGGGTTGATATTCTGGAATGCTTGTCACTTCGGTAACAGGTCGTTTCGGGACATAACACAAGATGTTTCGGGACCTGGGCAAGTCATTTCGGGACACATAAAATGTTCACTTATAATTTACATTTCGCTCCCGTTTCATATAAAGTCATGTAAAGACCTGAGTCATCTATGTCTTGTCCACTAATACGGAATAGGATTACTTATTTCGGGGTACAAATGTACTAGGAATATTTTTGTGACTGTCATGGGGTACAGAATATTAGTCAGGTACCCGAAAATTGAAATTCACAAACCGGGGTCCTGAAAATATTTGATGACAAAAATATGCATCTAATCTATAGTTAGCTGTTAATAAATAGCAAAATTTTCTTCTCTTTAGGTCAACTAGACATTTAATCATTGTGAAATGATAAATTAAATCGTATATGTTTGGGAGGTTTTCTTCTTAATAAAAAGTTTTAGAATTATGTAGCGGAAATTGTTTATTTTTAATTGAAAGATACCTAGACGTTCCCTTTAATTGAACTGATACATGTTTATATCATCTGCACCTGGTGTAAATCACCGGTTATACAAGTTAATTCTCTTGTATTGTCTTGAGTATAAAAGCCTCCGTAATTAGATTGGTGCATTACAATGCTTAAGCAATTGTGCAATAAACTTGATTTTTTTTACATATAATTAGGTAATGAAGAACAGAAGGTACAGAAGGAAAAAAATGAAAAATCCTGAAACAATTTTTGACATGTCCCGAAACGACGTTCTTCTTGTTACCGAAACAACCCGACACCATATTCTGTTACTCAAATCACAAGCGCTTGTATCTTGTATTTAATACCTGAGCTAAAATCCAAAATCCACTACTTACACAAGTTGATATTGTGTAAGTAGTGGATTTTAGCTCAGGTATAAATACAAGCGCCTGTGCTCAAATGAAGGATTTATATGAGGGGTTGTGTACTGTTGAAAAGGCACTCTTACGGCATAGCTTTAAGGGCTGAATATCGTTATCAAAAACTATGTGATAAGAATTGCAAGAGATAGATCTACCCCATGGCACAGTACCGATGTTTGCGTAATGAGATCGTCACTAGTACTGTCAAATACACATTATACTCGACTTGATAACTGATGCTGAATTTTGAAGAAATTTTGTTTATTAAAAATTCAAACATAACTAACAGTGGTTCTTATATATTGCCTGCAAATAGCTGCTGTAACATAACTGAACCCCGCCGGCATCTTTACTTACCACATAGGCTTTTCGTTGCCCATTGAAGATTTCTCGCCATCGACAATGTTTTTACTGAGCTTGCAACGGACTCTGTTTTCTTCACAATTGCAGGCGATTCATGATGAACAACGGCTGTAACGGAAGTAGGTTTCAAAGATAAACTTGAAATCTGCTTCACGGCCGAAGCAAACTGATTCTTAGGAATCGCCAGCATTTTGCTCGTAATGTCCTTCTCTTGTGGAAGGTGAAAGACGGTTTGTGGGTGTCGTGTAAATGTAAATATCAGTAGATGTGTATTCCTTTTTCATATTGTATGAAAACTATTTCAAAATAAATCCTTTTAAATTTTAATTACATATGCAAATTAAATATGTTATATTGGAAGTAATATACAGTATTTGCGACAATGTTTTTTTTGCGGTGCATCATGGGAGAGTGCTACTATTCAAAATGGCTTCGGATACAGAATCAGGGTCAGAGTACGAGGTATTATTGCAATTGCTACATACTGTGTATTTATGTGTGCAAACTGTTCTAACTGAATGTATTGCATAAAAAAAGTTGAAGTTTGTTTATTGCAATAGGTGCATGCCTTATAACGGCTTTATTCATTAAGAAAATGAACAGAATAATTTGAAAGATAATGAACCGCCATGCAACCGGCGATTGTGGCGTTACTTTACACAGTAGCTGTCTGAACGAAATTTTCTGTTATTTATTATTCACCAATCGTGTGGCATATTTTGATTATGCATGTCGTATTTTTGTGTCTAAATGGCAATTGTATAAGTAAGAGAATGTTTTCTGACCATGTAGGATTTTATCTCTGCAAGGGAGATAACTTTCACTATTTTCAGAAAACCGATTTTAGCGTGTTTGTGAAAAATTGGCCTCGAAGAAATTTCTTGTAGTGTTTTGGGGTTTGTACACAGAATTGCACCTGAACTTGCTAGAATGTACAACAGCCTGCTCTTTCATAAATATGATTTTTTTTTTTAAATGGTTCAGATATTATATTTTCTTAATTTTGAGGAAAATTCCTGCAAGGGGCAGACGCTGCCTGTGATGCATACGGCTATAACACCAGGCAACAACAAAAATTACTGCTTGTACATAATGTACAATTAAAATACATTTTTACAACCCCATATGCACAGTCACTGATAAGTGGTTCTCTGATAAAATGTAGGTGAATTATGGGCATAATTTATAAGGTACTTTCTGTTGCATTTTGCATGAATTAATGCAAAATAGATATCAGTTTTACACAATGTACTTATTGAACGTGTCACAATGTTTCAAGACCGACTGGTCCCTTTGTCAAGCTATGACTCTATCTATTAGGTAAAACTAATTGAAAATAATAAAATAATACCTTTAACTTTCCAAAATTATTATTTTCACACAGGAAAAACATTACTGATGTCATTGCTTTATCTTGCGACTGTCAATAAATATTAATAAGGGTCTATGTTGCCATTTAGGCAAGTTGACATGTATTTGATTTGTGGCAGTGGAACCGATTTCGTACACCAAAAAAATCTGTTCTTTATTTTTACCAATGGTAGCTATATAGCTCTCTGAACATATATATATGTTGTATATTAATTTTAATAATTGGAATACAGTATAAAAACTCAAAGTCCGAATTTGATATGGAAAACCAGGATATTCCTAAAATCTTCAGTTGACCTGTATAATTGATGCTGCTTTCTTATTTTTCATAGGTTGTGAAGATTTTGCAACAAAGGCGCAGACGAGGCCTGACAGAATTCCTGGTACGATGGAGTGGCTTTGGACCTCAGGAAGATTCTTGGGAACAAGAAGGCAAATTGAAAAACTGTGGAAAACTTATTCAAGATTTCGTTAAATCAAGCTTGGTATGACAATTATCATTTCATTTCATATTTCATAATAAACATCATGGTTAGCATTACACCCATTTGAGTTCTTTGAATAGAAATTAAATTTAACTTGAATTGGACCCCGTTAGTTAAATGTGATTTTGTACCGTTTTTCATGTATAAATGATGGTGACTGATACATGATGTGAGGCTATCGTGTAATTGGTCTATACTGTGTAAGTACTGTAGTGACCTCTTTAACTCTGAAAACCAACGAGATCTGATCACAATTTTACAGTTTTTCTCAATTTTCTGACCAAATGTGTCCTTTATATTCTTATATTTGAGGAAACCATATGATAAAAATAATATTACAAAGTGATTGATCATTCAATTTCCCTGAAGCATCTTTCTAAACATGCAATGGAAAAATAGTGTGCGTTAATTTATACATGAATTACAGTATTAATAATGCCTGTTCGAAATATTAAAATAATTGATACGATAATTGTTTCCCTTGATATTTTAAGATGCATTTGGCACAGCTAATTGGAGGAATTATGATACTTGTCATTGTAATTCAATAGATGTACTTTTGAATTGAATTTGATTGTAGACACCTGCTAAGAAAACAACAAAGAGGGCTTCTAGGTCACGATCTTCATCACGATCGAGGTCAAGGTCACGGTCAAGAGGTAGAGCATCATCGAAAAGCCGAAAATCTCCTTCGAGGAAAAAGGTAGCCACTCCAGTGACAGAGAAACCTGTGAGCATCCGTCAGTCAAGGAGGTTAACTGCTGGTGCTGATGTTGTAAAGGAAACAACAACTACAACCACAGTATGTCCAACAGTCACAATTAAAAAAAATCTTTCTTGAATGTACCAAACCAGATTTTTTTGTCATCAAAATTACTATTTATGTAAAAAATAATGTAAAACTTAATTTTAAAAAATTTAGCAAACATACTCGTACAGAACTCGTCAAGAAGATGCAAAATAACTTGAGTCCTAGACATGTTCTGCTGATGGTCAAATTGTTGATATTTATTGAGCCAATCAGAAATCCAATATGGCTGTCACAGCTGTTATTTTGAAACCCAATATAAAGTTTAAACTCATACTGATTTTAACTAAAACATGGTAGGTGCTTTTATTTTTTGAGTCAATAATATAAGAAATTTAATATCTAGTGTTGCCTAAATTGTCATACAAAAACAGGGTTTATATGACCTAAGACATCAACAGCATTTTGATTTGGCTATTCACAGCCTGGCTTGTCAGATTAAGAAGTTTTTAAAATGAAGTAACCAATATCCAAGGCTTTCAGTTGACCCTTGAGATTTAACAGTTTAAGAATTCAAATAGAATTTTCGATGAGTTTGTGCTAGTCAAAGCACTTGTCATATAGACCTGTCTTTTAAAACCAAAAAGTCAGTTAATTTAGAGGAGTAAACTTCATGCGCTCAGGAGTCTGTTGAAAGCCCTGATTAAGTGTAGTAGTCTAACGAGCCTATTGAGATAACAAGGAATGTTTCTTTTAATGTTACAGAGAACGGTGGAGGAATTAAAACCGTTAAACAGTGTTGATGAGGATGTCAAACGAACAGTGGTTAAAGAAACCTGGACAACAAAGACCACACAAGCAAAGTCAACTGATGACCGTAAACCAGCATGGCAGCCTCAGCTTCCAGAGTTCCTCCGCCTGAACACATCCGATGTTCCTGTCATGATCATCTTCTCGTGTATAACCATCATCACACTTTGTTTTCTGCTGGAAAGATATGTCGAGTAAGTGGTTGCTTGTTGTAACTTGTTTATGCCCGATATAAGTAATATTTTTATCAATATATAATTTATAAGGTAGCACATTATTGTTTTAAGATTTGAAAAATACACTTGTTCAGGATTCTTTCAATATTAAGACCCCCCAGGACTCTTCCATCTGGGCCAACAATACTGATTTATGTAAGATGAAAGAAAAGTTATTTAACCCTTTGCCACATGCAAGCGCCTCTGGACGCCTTTACCCCTTGCCACATGTAAGCGCTTCCTGACGCCTCTACATTATCTCAATGTAAGCGCTTCTCGACGCCGCTACGTTATCTCAATGTAAGCGCCTCTCGACGCCATGTCGTTTCGGTAAACTTAGACATGGAAAATTCAGTGATTGAGAGCGACACCTATCTGGAAATCACCTGTACTATTTTTAGAAGATATCAATGCATCGACCAATCAGATTTGTACACGTCATTCCTACGAATAGTTTTGAATAAATTAACCTAGAAACTGCGAGTCATGAGTGTAGAAAAGTGTCACAACAGCGAGCCGTGATGGCGACTGTCACAACTATGTTACGGGACATTTTTGAGGAGGAGGAGGATGATTAATAGTTTAATGGCTTCAGCCCTGATGAGATTGAGTCAGACATCGATCTTAACGATGTTTTTGAATGAACTGTCCTCAGAAATAAGTCCGAAAATGATTATGTAAAAGATGAACAGCGACCGGGTGTACTGCCGCCATTACGGCATTAGGTAACGACGACTCTGAATGGTCTCAAGATTTTTCACCGATCAATTTTAATGATTTTGTTGGAAAAACGGGGCTAATACTTCCAGAAAAATGTTGATGTTGATACTGCAGGTCCCGTTGATTATTTCTATCTTTTTTCCAATAAAAATCAGTTCACCACCATAGCCCGAGACACACACTCGCTGGCGTTTGAAAAACGAAAATAGATTTGACCCAAAATGGTCGGATACAAATTCCGCCGCAATAAAAGCTTTTATATAGACCTAAATATACACTGTATTTAAAAACTTCTTGTGAGAATTTTGGAAATTTGATTTGTTGTTTTATTTGGAAGTGATAATATCATTGTTGAGTCATTTCATTGAATCATAATTAAAGCAAAATGAAACATTTTAAAATGTGTCTATCCTGATATACATACAGCTGATTTCATGGTTATGTGTTGATGTTTTTATTAGGAAAATAGCACTGAATTAAAATTTAAGAAATTCTGAACATAATTTGAACTTACTGAAAATGCTTAAAACAACTATTTCACCTTCAAAATTAAGGTTAGAAAAACAAATCAAAACAAAACTTAATTTCTCAAAAACTGCCATTGAGATGGCGTATACACATTTCAGTCAGTGCAGAAGTGTTGCATTGCAACAATGTATCTTGGCACTATCAGTACAGAGTGTTCATGTGTATTGGTTTGCATGTGGCAAAGGGTTAATAATTGTTGTAAAAATGAAATGTGGTTTTTTTTAATGCTATTAAATACATATATAACCACGCTTCATAATAGTCATGTTGATATCTTTATGATACCGTTTCTTTTTTGTTGATTCTATTAAAGTAAAATATATCAACCATGTTTGATGTAAAAAAAAATAAAAAAAATCTTCCGTTTCACCCAAAAACAAAATAGGGTCAAGGTAGAGGAATACTTTTTTTCTCTGTTACCTATTTATACTGGTTGTTCACATACAAATGATACTGTCATCAGTGCTTGTCTGACTTAAAACATGGTAGGTTGGCTGTTCAAGATTGGGCGCTGATTCATTGTAGGGAAAAGTGACTTTTTAACCTTTTTTTTAATTTGTTTAGAACCTAATTACTACTGCACTTGTAGACCACATATATAACTTAGAAATAATATTGTAATCTTAAAAGTTAAATTCAATTATAAAATAAAGAATCAAAGTATGATTTTGTGAATGCTACTAAATTTGTTTCAGAAAACATTTATTTATTGCATGACTTAAACTTGTTATGAAGGCCTAACAACAAAAAATTGTCGTTTCCGATATTAAACCCAATCTACCCTAATTTTTGTGCCTACCGTAAAGCTTTTAAGTCAATTTTCAAAGAAGCACTGTTAAATTTAAGATCACTCTCCTATATAAACCATTTAAGATTATTTGTTAAAGTAAAATTTATTACCTACCTACCCTAAAAAAAAGAAATCCAATATGTTACAGGAAAACTTTTTTTTTTGTCTAGCCTTAATTACTATTACGATATTTGGCAAACACCTCTTTTAGGGAGGCTATAGCAATGTAACTTGTAAGCCTGCCCCATAGTTTTGTTTTTATTTGTGATCTACTGTACAATAATCTATATATTTATATGTATTTAGTATTACATGGCAGGAATTAGTTTGAGATCTGTAGTAATAAACTTAAGAAATGCCAATGCTTAACACTAAGCTGAATATTTTGTGATATTGCAGTTTTGAAGCGGTATGGAACAGTCTGGCTGCAGGGTGTGAGGCAGTTATTGCCCAAGTTGAGAGTCTAAGATCAGGAAGTGAAAAGGTTGCGGCAGGAAAACAAAAGTGAAGCCCTTAGGACTGGACGATTTTGACGTGATTATCCCTCCCAACCATAAACTGTACAGACTGAATGCAACAGGCAGCATGTTTCTCCTCCTCTTGACAAAGAGTGTACTGGACGCGTGGAAGTGCCATGGAGAGAGACAAAGTATCGTTCTCCTCCTCCTCCTCCTGACGAAGAGTGTACCGGACGTGTGGAAGTGCCACGGAGAGAGACAAAGCATTGTAAAAAGATGTTGTGACGGAATATGTAAATTACCCCTTGCTAACCATGTAAACACTGTAATATTCTTAAACATTTTTAACCTAGTATTGTTGATTTTTTTAATGAAATGTGTTAACTATTTTACTAAGAAGTATTAGGTAAGCTACTCTTTGCAATTACAATTAATCCTCTTACAAAAGTAATGAAAATATTGTATACCGGTCAAGTAATTTCTGTTTAATGTTTTCTTCTCTTTTTTTTTCATGTGGTAGATTCCAATGAGTTTTGTGTTTGTAACAGTTACGTATAATTGACCGTCTCATGTCTGTGGAACCTTGCAATTGTGCTTTGTGACATGTGACTGAACGACTGTTGAAAGCTATATTTTATAAAGCTGGTTGTAAAGTGGTAGTGAAATCAGGGATTTGGGTTCAGGGAGATAGCTCAATACTCCTCTACGATGGCTGGCTGGCTGGTCCACTGTAAATATTGTGCACAGCTTAATCATTGTGAAACTTTGCTTCAAGAATTGTCCTCTATATTTTAAGCTCTAACAGGTAGTAAACTTTTTAGGATTGCAATCTCTTATCAAAACTTAAGCTTGAATGACAAAGAGCTTCTTTCCGGGAGGTCAAACAATTTACTCATTCACCCCTGAAGACACATTTGAACTCTTCCAATTCAAAGGTTGGGATAGTTCATAATAAAACTCCAGAGGTGAATAAGTTAATGAACTGCAATATAAAATATAAAATCATGCCAATCAACATATGATGAACTGGTTATGTGATGCCTTCCAAGGTCTTGCTAGTGATTTCTTCTGAAACAGTCAGATACATATGTTTTAGACTAACCACAAGTAAACTAACAATAGGATGGTATTAAAGATATATCCAAATAAAGCATGTTACAATAACTGCTAGGGACCAAAGTATGACATGTTTAAAGTGCTGAATGAAATCATTGGTAAACGTGTTAATGTTGTATATACATGTGTTATCTAGTTTAGTCTATATGAGAGTAAACCAGTCTTAGTAAAAAGATTAAAACGATGTTGAAGAAAGGTATACACACATCCTCCAACTGACAGGTGAACTTCCTGTTCCAACTGACAGGTGAACTTCCTGTTCCAACTGACAGGTGAACTTCCTGTTCCAACTGACAGGTGAACTTCCTGTTCCAACTGACAGGTGAACTTCCTGTTCCAACTGACAGGTGAACTTCCTGTTCCAACTGACAGGTGAACTTCCTGTTCCAACTGACAGGTGAACTTCCTGTTCCAACTGACAGGTGAACTTCCTGTTCCAACTGACAGGTGAACTTCCTGTTCCAACTGTCAGGTGAACTTCCTGTTCCAACTGACAGGTGAACTTTCTGTTCCAACTGACAGGTGAACTTCCTGTTCCAACTGACAGGTGAACTTCCTGTTCCAACTGACAGGGTGAACTTTCTGTTCCAACTGACAGGTGAACTTCCTGTTCCAACTGACAGGTGAACTTCCTGTTTGTTGATGATACCAAGGTCAACTTTCACCAGTTGAAGCATTCAATCTGTACAAAATGCCAAGACCAATCAAATAATTGTATTGTTGATCCTAGTCACAAATTTCTACTTGGCCATCGAACATTTTAATTTTTAATTTTACGTGCACATGTGAAAATTGCAACATCTGATGCAGAAGATCATGTCTTGTGTCTTTTATAACCAACCATTTACAATTATTAAACAGAAAATATATTCATACAGCAATTTTGCTATCATTTGTGTAAAGCTGACATTTCATTTTATTATCATTTTATATGTCGGTTGACTATGTACTACCCACCGTTTTGTGTAGGTCCCCACCAATCCATAGCTTTGTGTGTATCAGTCCAAGTGCAATGATATCCATGTATTGTTCTCCCAGGAAACTTTCAGAAAGGATCAAGGTAGTTGTCTACGTTCTGTAGAGGCAGCATACAAGTAGCGTGACAAGGTTGGCTTTACATAGAATCATGTTAGAAGAAAGAAAGGGAGCATGATACTCTCGCAAAATCAGGCAAAGAGCGAAGACAGAATGCTTAAAAAAGGAAATAAAAACATGCCTGTTTGAGATAGTTAAATGATGTGTTGTGCAGATAGAAATGTCTCTGGAGAACTGTTTATACCTGCTTACAACAGCATGGATACCTTATTTCAACATAATCTCACCATTTACCTTTTTGAAGTATATTTTCTTAAACACTTCAGTAGTAATGCCTTGCATGGGCTCATTGAATTGTCATATATGTAATTTTTTATTGACAGATTTTCATGCACGTTTAAATGATGTTTCTTGTTTCTTGATGAAAACTTAATGGAGTGATTACAGGTCTCGCACGCAGCTGTTTTATTAGAATCCGCAAAATTTTAATGCGGAAGTTGTTGGAAAACTGACAAAATGGTGGAAGTATCAACATGTGGTGTTAAGTGTACGACTGTGTGTTACCTGTTTGTGTGTTTATATCATTACAAAGGGAAGATGCTCTTATGCAATAACATTCATTATTATGTGACGGCAGGCAGCAGTGTGATGACCACTCATTTGTGGTCGTCACAAAAAAAAAATCTTCTTTTAGTTTTTTTGGTTCAGATATTTGGTAGTTAATACATGTGATGAAGAATCTCAAATTGCGTAATTATAAATCTCAGTGAAATTTTTCCAACTGATCTTGCATAAAATTATTTTGAGATCCTCAATTCATAGAGGATATACGTATATGATACAATCATTGCTTCTCTTCGGCTAATCCATGACTAGTCTTCACATGTCACATGTTCAACCATTCCAAATTTGTTAGGATCAGGATAAAATATTGGAGGTAAAATTTCAGGTAAATCATGTTCTGCTGTAAATTTGTATCATCTGTTTGAAAGTGTACCATGTATGATATATATTTTTACCTTTTTCCCGAAAGATTGGAAAACTTTTACAGCAAATGTTTTAAAACAAAACTTCGCAATAAAATACAGACTGAAAATAAAAGTATTTTTTGTTGTTTTTTGCTCGCTGGCTCGAATGGCAAGTGAGCTTATGTCATGGTGCAGTGTCCGCTAACTTTTCCTTTAACGAACTTCTTCTGAAGAACGGACAGCCCTAGAGTCATGATATTTGGCTGAAAGCTTCATTTTTAGAAGCCTGACAAAGTTTGAGAACGAAAATGACCTTGACCTACGATCAAGGTCATATGGGTCAAATGTGTCATACACTTCAAACGACTTCTGAAGAACTGAAAGGTATAGAATCTTTAAATTTGGCTGGTGGCTACCTGGGCTAGAGCCCATCAAAGTTTGAGAATGAAAATGACCTTGACCTCCTTTCAAGGTCGCAGGGGTCAAATTTGTCAATCACTTCAAATGACTTCTTCTGCAGAACTGAAAGGTATAGAATCTTCATAAGTCTCACCTAAAGATTATATAGAATTTAACAGACCCTATTTTCACAAATGTTACTTACCGGAGTAAGGAAGGCAGAAAGCAAATTGAGACCAAGAGGCATTGTTCCTACAAAAGGCATCCCCGGACAAGAACTTGGAATATGACAGTTGGTAAGAGGAACACAAAACGGATAGTGTATATTGGTAAGAAAGGGAAGTATGTACTCCGATATCTTTATGCTAAAGCCATCTTAGGAACCAGTGACTTCTAGGATCTATTAGCACTACCTGCGATTTAGCAGACTGAAGGAAGAGACTTGGCAGAACGACTCTGAACCAACTTTGACATCTTGGGACATGAGCAAGGCGACACACCACAAAGCACTGGGACAAAGACTGGTCTAACCAGACAAAGGCGACATTATAAAGGGGGACCCACGCTTTTTCAGTTCAAGGACTTAAAAACTCCATGTTTTGAAGACACACTCGAACCTACGCGCAACAACGTTAACAGATTTCAAGGAAATGCGGATACAATATAAAAACCTGTAATAAGGACACAAAATCAATGAAATTATGACAGGATATCATGGCATGAACATCATGGAACAAATACAAAGTAAGTAAGACCATGTATTCCGGAAGGCCATGCGTCTATTGCTTCATCGACAACACTTGTCATACCTATCTATGTCAAGTCCTCAACGGCAGAACCGTGACAGTGACAGCGAAACAACAATGATATAGAATATTTCATCATGGCGCCCGTTAATTCGCATCTAGTTCATTATCAATTCTACATTTGTCAAGGAGCAGGAATATAAAATCTTTGTCAGATCATCCCTAGAATATGCCTGCTCAGTTTTGGACCCTTATACTAAAACAGACATAAGCAAAATAGAAATGGTGCAGCGTAGAGCAGCCAGATTAGTCACCAACAAATTTAGAAACACCTCCAGTGTTGGTGACATGCTTTAACATATGACATCGCTATCTTTTATCTTTTCTTCTCTTGGCCTAGCAACCACTATCACATGACATGATCTTCAAATAGATGAAGGTGGTCATTACGATGTAGATGTAGATAGCTGTGTCGGCCAGAAGATGGGCAAGGTTTGTTCTCGTGAAAATGTCTACAGTTTGCTGGAAAATCTTGCCATCGAACACAACAAAGGTATAGTCAACCAGGAACCAAACCATTCTCACGATAGTTCCAAAACAGTTTACAACTAGACGTTTCTGTTCGCCTTTTTTGGAAAAAGTGCTGAGTTTCACAGTAATGCCGTTGAACGAAGGCTTCTTTTACACATTTGACCCCTTGAAAGTAGGTCAATGTCATTTTCGTTCTCAACCCTTTTCTGGCTCTTACCAAAGAAGCTTTCTGCCAAATATCATGACTCTTGGACTGTCCATGCTTCAGAAGAAGTCGTTTAAATGAAAAGTTGACGGACGACGCCGTACGGACGACAGACAGCAGACGCTGCGCATGACAGGTTTCGTGAAGGTGGCCTAACTGATGCATGACCGTACATTCTTATCATAAACTGATAGTTAGAAACATTGTAACTTAGCTTGTATATTCTATGTCTCCTTCCGATTTGACAGTTTCCTTGAACATTTATCATGCAGGACGTCAATTTTGGCGTCGACATTAGAATCAATACATGCGCACATTTATTTTGGTTTCAATTCTAATTTCAAACTGATTTTTTTTTCAGTTCATTGAATGGCGGACCCGATATGGATTTAACCAACTCTGATCTGAAGTGAATCTGATCCAGCATACTCTCGTATTGTCTATAGTCTGAAGTATTTCTCCATCGAAACCATCAGTATATCTTGAGTGGTTGTGACGTATTCGATCCTAACCCCAAGTTATACGTATATTCCGTCTTTGCATATTGCAGAGTTATCTGCACTTGTGAGCAGGTATTGATTGTTACGTCATTGGTTTGTGAGAGTAAAGGCATCAATTTTTGAGAAAACGACGTAATTTTCTCACACAAACCAATGACGAAACAATCAATACCGGCTCCCAAGAGAAGATAACTCTGCAATACGCAAAGACGGAATACAAACAAAAACGTATCGGTGAAGGTCCAAATTGGCACCCGGCCCTCCTTTCTATTCCAAGTGATATCAGGGGCCTTTTCGTTTTTTAAATGTAACATTTTCGGGTATAAATCCTGGCGGAAATGCAAACGTTTCTGCAGGCCTTGTAAGTCTTTGTCAAGGCTCGTCTGAAAGCAGCATCAAATTACTAAGTCATAAACGAACAACTCTGGTCCAACTGTTTCAACCGTTTGGACCGCGATAAACGAAAATGGCCCAGTCTCTTAATTGATACTTTAATTGGACCGTAGCCTTACATTATGGATCAAGCATTTAGTTTGTTTGATAAAGGTTATCTAAACTCAGCTGTTACAGCGCGTGCTTGTGGTTTAAAAGCTTAGATTGAAGAACTGGGTTTGAATATAATATTTTGTAGCCGAAGTACGGTAGTATGTTAGCTTCGCCAAACTTATATGTGTTGTAGGATATAACATTTTTCACATTTACTTATTGAGTGTCCAGTGTTTTCCTTTACACGCGATGCTTTCCTCGATAAGGTTGTAAATGTCAGAGATTATGTAACGTTTTCATTTCGTGAGGACAATTACCAAACGGATTTTCTAATGGGAAGTCGTGCGCGCGTCCAATTGCCTGATGACGGGTGGGAGAGTTTGATGCTGGTTGTTGCGGACGGAATTCAGTTGCTGCTCTCCGACATGAACTCAAGACTTTTAAAAATTGCAAGTGAATGAGACTTGATATGATTAAAACTGATTATTCCTATAATTATCATTTGTATTGTTTGGTGTTATTTTGAAATCTCTATCCAGAAGAAATAAAGAATCTGTCTGTCTATTCTGTCTGTCTGAAGGATATTACTTGTGTTGACGACATCAATTTCCTTGTTTGCATATTCGACTTTCAAGAAATTTCGAGGTCCTGAGCTTACGCAGTGGTCGACTTATTCCGAAATAAATACATTATTACCCCCATTTAAACATTTTTGATGGGCGGAGATAGGCAGTTATTCTGGTGTAGCGGAACAGGACTGGGTCGATCGTTGGCGACCAGGTAGCTCAATTGGTAGAGCATCCGTCTAGAGTTCTGAGGCTCACGGGTTCAAACCCCGGTCTGGCAGTGGCCATGCATTTTTCCTCTCCTGTTACACTGGATTTACGGTGGTTCAACGTTATCCGTACGAATTAAGTCAGTGCATGGCTTTAAAAAAGGTCGAATTTATGCCAATGCATCACCAATCATTTAAAATTTCAAAACTAGTCTCCAAAGGCTAGTAACGGTAACAGTTTTAGTTTAATCCATAATTCCGATATCAAATTTTATATGGTGGCTGATCATAGTACCCTTTTGATGATTTTATTTTTTCGCGAAACGCGGCGCGTTCTATCGATCGTATATATAGAGCGCCATTTGTGGCTTTTGTTTTTCAAATTTGAGATCTATGTAGTACTGTATCTGTGATGTCGCACTATACCGTTTCCCGAGATTGATTTTTTTTTTATATATAAAGTATGGTAACGTGAAGCAAAAGTGAAAGTGTAAAAAACTGCCTTTTCACATTTTGTGTAATTATATATTGTTGAAGGGAGGTCTATAATTATGTTGTTATAAGATATGCCCGATCCTATTGCTTATTTTTTTAAATGCAATAAGATATGTTAAACTAAACTGAAAATTGTTTCAATTGCTTTTACAAAAACTATGAACTTTATCAATGTTAATTTGAATTAGATGTATACCGTGCCATATTTGTATTGTCGGCATCATACATTTGAAAATAAAGCTATTCCGTTTTGTGTACCATNAAGATATCGACGACTTTATCATACAGAACGTCCGATATTTCACAGACGTTGTTCTATAATTTCCCGTAAATTGGTTCAGCCCCAGAAATTACATAGCTATTTTTTCAGTAAAGTGTATATATATATACCTATATTATTTCATCAGACTAATTAGGTAACCGAAAACTTTGCGCAGAGCTTACAAAATATGTAGTACCTTTTGGCTATTAATCGGTCTTGTTATTTATGACAGAGGTCTATTTAAACGTTGCTTGACTGATGCAATAATCGGTCAAATATAAAATTGTAAATAGAAGCCTTCATGCCTACAGGGAAAACTAAATATAGATCTTCTCGCAGTTTTATGTGATATATATATATCTACATTTGTTCCAAACACAGAGTTACCTCCCTGCATTATGTCGACCTTGACCGACAATCTGAAATCATCTGATGCAAGCGGCTTGTTCTTCGTAATATCAGAAGTGTTAAATTCGTGTTATATAAGGGAAAAGAAGAGTATACAAGTCACTCTACAATTTAATTGTATCAAGGAAGTTTTGTGGTTCAATTTAAAGAAAAAATGGCAGAGGATGAATCGGTAAGAAACTGAGTAGAACGATCGCATGCGTTTGCGAGAAATTCCAATATGGCGACGTCCATTGACCATGTGGAATTAAAACAGCTGGTCAATCGTAAAATAGTCTCACATTTCAAACATTTATAAATCAGACATTTTACGCAGAAACTAATCTAAATCCATTTAACTCACGCGAAAATTCATCATGTTTATGTCAGTAAAATATATACATAAAATATTTCAGGTTTCCGGGGGGGGGGGGAGTTTTCCACATTTCGATGAATTTATCTGTCCAGAACCACAAACTTCAAGATGATGAAAGTTGTCTGTGAAATGATTTGTTCATTTTAAAAGAAACCTTTGATCTGTTATTTTACATTTTAATATTGACATTTTGACATTATATTACATGACCAGAAGTTTGATATTGTGAAACTGGAAAGGGAAAATGTAAAAGCCAGACAAGGATTCGAACCTGGGACCTCTGATGCATAAACATGAGTAAATTTTGAATATATATGTTCAGTTTGAGGTCAAATATGAGAGGAAAGGTAAAATATGACAGCCATCTGTACAGCATCATTAATACTCCTTGGCTTATACACTCACTCACGCTTTCTGCATCCCTGGATAATATGTCAAGGCAAAATTGAAGGAATGAAGATAGCTATTCGGTTGATCTCAGTTAAAAAAACCTGAGTCCTGTCCTTTGAAGATTATAGAGGAGCAACACCTGGCTTCAAACTCAAAGCCAGTCAATTTTACCATTTTGAGATTGTACATCAAAGGATCAAACTAGTTTCCTCTCCTCATCCACAAGGTGGAGAGTTCAGAGACTTTGATTTTGCTATTCCAGGGGTGCAAATTAAAGAGCTTAAGTGATCGAGTGTATTGAGGACGCTCGTACAGAGATTCAAATCTGGTACCTCTGACGTACGTATACATTTAGTTTGGCTAACCAATGGAGCTACCTGGTCACTGGCGATCAACCTAGTTCAGGTTTGCTACAGTTGTACCAACATATAAAAGTCTTCTGTGAAAAAAATACCCCTATACTTTAACATTCAGGTTTTTTACACATACTAACTGTCTGTAGTTTCCTGTGTTACCCGAGATCTGATGTAATGTCTGGTTGTTGTTGCATGGATTTTCGGTATGATTGACCTTGATGTAACCTTCAGTGCACTGTCCGGGTATTGCTCACCTATAATTGATCATCTATAGAGAAAGTCCATGTTCACAGCACTTGCCTTTTTAAGAGTTCAAGTTCTGTTTTGTTAGTATGGATATTACACAGCTTTCTGGTAAGCAAGCTTTTCATAAAGAACAGGCAGCAGGCCTAAATTTCAGACTGGTTCACTTTTCATTTCACTTTTTCTTATATGTATCCTGCATAATCAAATACTAAAATTGGCTGATTAAAATGTCTTTAGTCCTGTTCAAATATTTAATTATACTCCAAATATAGATCAAAAGCTAGACAAAAAATGTATGTTTCCTGTAACATGTTGGAAAAATTTAGGGTAGGTAGGTAACAGATTGTATTGTAACAAATAATTGTGTATGGTTTATATAGGAAAATGCTCTTGACTTTAACAGTGCTTCTTTGAAAATTGCCGTAAAAAATTAAGGTACCCGGTAGGTATGGTTACCGGAAACAGGAAATTTATTTTTTGTTTGGCCAAATGAAATATTTGCACAGTTTTATGCTAGTTGGATGTTTTGTATTTCTACCAAGGATGGAGTAGAAGTTCCAGTGAAAGATATAGAAACCATGGACCAAAAAAATGTAACTTATATAATCGCCAATGAGATCACACTATACGGACGATCAGCTGTAAGTTAAATTGATTCATATTATAACAATTTTACAGTTCATGCTTGACTTGAAGAAGAAAAAGAAGAAGAAGAAGGTACCGTTTGATATGGACAGTGCTGAGACAACTGATGGGCCAGCATCCCAGACAGACGCTACAGATGAACTAAATGAGGAACAAGAAAAACCTGAAAAGTCAGAAAAAATAGACGATGGTAAGCTCATCACAATCTATGTTATGTATTATAAGGCTCTTTCAATTGCAAATTCCAAATATTCAAGTTAAAATAAAAAAGATTTTCATTTCAATTTTGTTTCAACTTCATGGGCATATATATGGTTTCAGTGAGATTTATGGATTTTTGTTTTTAAGAATTTGTCATTTTACATAGCAATCCTATGAGAAGCTATAATGACACATATAATTTGTGTCTTCGAATTGTTGACAAGAAATAAGTGAAGAAAAGTATGTTACTTGCTAAATGAATGGACTCATCATGAACTGACCAGATTGACCAGTGGCTCAATCCACCTTGGTGCTTGTATCAGGCTTTCTCTGAATGTCTTCATTTCATTTGCAGACATGTCCTTTGACTTCACAAATACAAAGAAAAAGAAGAAGAAGAAGAAGGCATTTGACATGGACGATGTGGGTGAGGCTTTACCTGTAAGTATTGACTAATTGCTTTTGATTTTCAGGAAACTGTTCATGATTAAGTTGTGTAATGTTTTCCCTAAAAGGGTTATGTATATCATGGAAAAGAATCCTCATGTAAAGGGGTGTGCACAATGGAATTTTTTTTCCTATTTTTTGGTAATCTGATCAGACTTTAAACATTAAATAAAGTAGTAATTGTTTTGGGGGGGGGAAAAGTATGGAAACTTATTGTGATTTTTTTGGGGGGACGGGAGGGGCAGGATGACAGGTAGCTGCTGGAGCGGTAGCTTCTAGGCACGATCGTTCAATCTTTTTTTAAAAACCATTATGATCGGACCAATTGTCTATGGTCCGATAATACAAAAAAACACCAAAAAAACCCAAAAACAATCAGGCCTAGAAGCTACGGTTCCCGCAGCTAGGCAGACAGGGTGTTACTTCATTAAGTTTAAACTTGATTTTGCACTTAATTATGTAATACCTAGTTTGCTTTGATCATAGTTAAGTGTGCCAATTTAGGGATGAAATTGAGACTTTTTGACTGAATGTGAATTCAAAGACCAATTTGGGAATAAAAATGTCCATGTTGCTTGTGAATAGGGTCATTATCTGACCTAGTTCACAAAGGCGGGGGGAAAAAACCACGGAAAGTATGGAAAGTATAGTCATTATCGTGTATTTGTTATTAAATTAGGGATGGGAATTTATAGAAGAAAAAAATCAAACTTAGCTTTTGCATAAAATCTCCTGAAATTGTTGTTTCTTTGACTTAAAAATAATGTTGACCCGTAGCATGTGTCACAATATCAGCAATGCACATGATCTGACAATTGTGATAATCTCAACATGTGTTTTTGTGTCATAATAACCTAGACACACAGGACGGTACAAATAAAAAATGACTGGCATTTGTTCACAGTGCCTATTGAGTTCATTGGAGATGATCAGTTTGAATGAAATCAAACACCAAAAGTTAATTAGCACTAATATGTCCTCCTAGAAGGTGATACACAACCCAGATCAGGCCAACTGGTTACTGCTCTATATATAATCATACACAACCCAGATCAGTCCCACGGGTTACTGCTCTATATATAATCATACACAACCCAGATCAGTCCCACGGGTTACTGCTCTGTTATATAATCATACACAACCCAGATCAGTCCCACGGGTTACTGCTCTGTTATATAATCATACACAACCCAGATCAGTCCCACGGGTTACTGCTCTGTTATATAATCATACACAACCCAGATCAGTCCCACGGGTTACTGCTCTGTTATATAATCATACACAACCCAGATCAGTCCCACGGGTTACTGCTCTGTTATATAATCATACACAACCCAGATCAGTCCCACGGGTTACTGCTCTGTTATATAATCATACACAACCCAGATCAGTCCCACGGGTTACTGCTCTGTTATATAATCATACACAACCCAGATCAGTCCCACGGGTTACTGCTCTGTTATATAATCATACACAACCCAGATCAGTCCCACGGGTTACTGCTCTGTTATATAATCATACACAACCCAGATCAGTCCCACGGGTTACTGCTCTGTTATATAATCATACACAACCCAGATCAGTCCCACGGGTTACTGCTCTGTTATATAATCATACACAACCCAGATCAGTCCCACGGGTTACTGCTCTGTTATATAATCATACACAACCCAGATCAGTCCCACGGGTTACTGCTCTGTTATATAATCATACACAACCCAGATCAGTCCCACGGGTTACTGCTCTGTTATATAATCATACACAACCCAGATCAGTCCCACGGGTTACTGCTCTGTTATATAATCATACACAACCCAGATCAGTCCCACGGGTTACTGCTCTGTTATATAATCATACACAACCCAGATCAGTCCCACGGGTTACTGCTCTGTTATATAATCATACACAACCCAGATCAGTCCCACGGGTTACTGCTCTGTTATATAATCATACACAACCCAGATCAGTCCCACGGGTTACTGCTCTGTTATATAATCATACACAACCCAGATCAGTCCCACGGGTTACTGCTCTGTTATATAATCATACACAACCCAGATCAGTCCCACGGGTTACTGCTCTGTTATATAATCATACACAACCCAGATCAGTCCCACGGGTTACTGCTCTGTTATATAATCATACACAACCCAGATCAGTCCCACGGGTTACTGCTCTGTTATATAATCATACACAACCCAGATCAGTCCCACGGGTTACTGCTCTGTTATATAATCATACACAACCCAGATCAGTCCCACGGGTTACTGCTCTGTTATATAATCATACACAACCCAGATCAGTCCCACGGGTTACTGCTCTGTTATATAATCATACACAACCCAGATCAGTCCCACGGGTTACTGCTCTGTTATATAATCATACACAACCCAGATCAGTCCCACGGGTTACTGCTCTGTTATATAATCATACACAACCCAGATCAGTCCCACGGGTTACTGCTCTGTTATATAATCATACACAACCCAGATCAGTCCCACGGGTTACTGCTCTGTTATATAATCATACACAACCCAGATCAGTCCCACGGGTTACTGCTCTGTTATATAATCATACACAACCCAGATCAGTCCCACGGGTTACTGCTCTGTTATATAATCATACACAACCCAGATCAGTCCCACGGGTTACTGCTCTGTTATATAATCATACACAACCCAGATCAGTCCCACGGGTTACTGCTCTGTTATATAATCATACACAACCCAGATCAGTCCCACGGGTTACTGCTCTGTTATATAATCATACACAACCCAGATCAGTCCCACGGGTTACTGCTCTGTTATATAATCATACACAACCCAGATCAGTCCCACGGGTTACTGCTCTGTTATATAATCATACACAACCCAGATCAGTCCCACGGGTTACTGCTCTGTTATATAATCATACACAACCCAGATCAGTCCCACGGGTTACTGCTCTGTTATATAATCATACACAACCCAGATCAGTCCCACGGGTTACTGCTCTGTTATATAATCATACACAACCCAGATCAGTCCCACGGGTTACTGCTCTGTTATATAATCATACACAACCCAGATCAGTCCCACGGGTTACTGCTCTGTTATATAATCATACACAACCCAGATCAGTCCCACGGGTTACTGCTCTGTTATATAATCATACACAACCCAGATCAGTCCCACGGGTTACTGCTCTGTTATATAATCATACACAACCCAGATCAGTCCCACGGGTTACTGCTCTGTTATATAATCATACACAACCCAGATCAGTCCCACGGGTTACTGCTCTGTTATATAATCATACACAACCCAGATCAGTCCCACGGGTTACTGCTCTGTTATATAATCATACACAACCCAGATCAGTCCCACGGGTTACTGCTCTGTTATATAATCATACACAACCCAGATCAGTCCCACGGGTTACTGCTCTGTTATATAATCATACACAACCCAGATCAGTCCCACGGGTTACTGCTCTGTTATATAATCATACACAACCCAGATCAGTCCCACGGGTTACTGCTCTGTTATATAATCATACACAACCCAGATCAGTCCCACGGGTTACTGCTCTGTTATATAATCATACACAACCCAGATCAGTCCCACGGGTTACTGCTCTGTTATATAATCATACACAACCCAGATCAGTCCCACGGGTTACTGCTCTGTTATATAATCATACACAACCCAGATCAGTCCCACGGGTTACTGCTCTGTTATATAATCATACACAACCCAGATCAGTCCCACGGGTTACTGCTCTGTTATATAATCATACACAACCCAGATCAGTCCCACGGGTTACTGCTCTGTTATATAATCATACACAACCCAGATCAGTCCCACGGGTTACTGCTCTGTTATATAATCATACACAACCCAGATCAGTCCCACGGGTTACTGCTCTGTTATATAATCATACACAACCCAGATCAGTCCCACGGGTTACTGCTCTGTTATATAATCATACACAACCCAGATCAGTCCCACGGGTTACTGCTCTGTTATATAATCATACACAACCCAGATCAGTCCCACGGGTTACTGCTCTGTTATATAATCATACACAACCCAGATCAGTCCCACGGGTTACTGCTCTGTTATATAATCATACACAACCCAGATCAGTCCCACGGGTTACTGCTCTGTTATATAATCATACACAACCCAGATCAGTCCCACGGGTTACTGCTCTGTTATATAATCATACACAACCCAGATCAGTCCCACGGGTTACTGCTCTGTTATATAATCATACACAACCCAGATCAGTCCCACGGGTTACTGCTCTGTTATATAATCATACACAACCCAGATCAGTCCCACGGGTTACTGCTCTGTTATATAATCATACACAACCCAGATCAGTCCCACGGGTTACTGCTCTGTTATATAATCATACACAACCCAGATCAGTCCCACGGGTTACTGCTCTGTTATATAATCATACACAACCCAGATCAGTCCCACGGGTTACTGCTCTGTTATATAATCATACACAACCCAGATCAGTCCCACGGGTTACTGCTCTGTTATATAATCATACACAACCCAGATCAGTCCCACGGGTTACTGCTCTGTTATATAATCATACACAACCCAGATCAGTCCCACGGGTTACTGCTCTGTTATATAATCATACACAACCCAGATCAGTCCCACGGGTTACTGCTCTGTTATATAATCATACACAACCCAGATCAGTCCCACGGGTTACTGCTCTGTTATATAATCATACACAACCCAGATCAGTCCCACGGGTTACTGCTCTGTTATATAATCATACACAACCCAGATCAGTCCCACGGGTTACTGCTCTGTTATATAATCATACACAACCCAGATCAGTCCCACGGGTTACTGCTCTGTTATATAATCATACACAACCCAGATCAGTCCCACGGGTTACTGCTCTGTTATATAATCATACACAACCCAGATCAGTCCCACGGGTTACTGCTCTGTTATATAATCATACACAACCCAGATCAGTCCCACGGGTTACTGCTCTGTTATATAATCATACACAACCCAGATCAGTCCCACGGGTTACTGCTCTGTTATATAATCATACACAACCCAGATCAGTCCCACGGGTTACTGCTCTGTTATATAATCATACACAACCCAGATCAGTCCCACGGGTTACTGCTCTGTTATATAATCATACACAACCCAGATCAGTCCCACGGGTTACTGCTCTGTTATATAATCATACACAACCCAGATCAGTCCCACGGGTTACTGCTCTGTTATATAATCATACACAACCCAGATCAGTCCCACGGGTTACTGCTCTGTTATATAATCATACACAACCCAGATCAGTCCCACGGGTTACTGCTCTGTTATATAATCATACACAACCCAGATCAGTCCCACGGGTTACTGCTCTGTTATATAATCATACACAACCCAGATCAGTCCCACGGGTTACTGCTCTGTTATATAATCATACACAACCCAGATCAGTCCCACGGGTTACTGCTCTGTTATATAATCATACACAACCCAGATCAGTCCCACGGGTTACTGCTCTGTTATATAATCATACACAACCCAGATCAGTCCCACGGGTTACTGCTCTGTTATATAATCATACACAACCCAGATCAGTCCCACGGGTTACTGCTCTGTTATATAATCATACACAACCCAGATCAGTCCCACGGGTTACTGCTCTGTTATATAATCATACACAACCCAGATCAGTCCCACGGGTTACTGCTCTGTTATATAATCATACACAACCCAGATCAGTCCCACGGGTTACTGCTCTGTTATATAATCATACACAACCCAGATCAGTCCCACGGGTTACTGCTCTGTTATATAATCATACACAACCCAGATCAGTCCCACGGGTTACTGCTCTGTTATATAATCATACACAACCCAGATCAGTCCCACGGGTTACTGCTCTGTTATATAATCATACACAACCCAGATCAGTCCCACGGGTTACTGCTCTGTTATATAATCATACACAACCCAGATCAGTCCCACGGGTTACTGCTCTGTTATATAATCATACACAACCCAGATCAGTCCCACGGGTTACTGCTCTGTTATATAATCATACACAACCCAGATCAGTCCCACGGGTTACTGCTCTGTTATATAATCATACACAACCCAGATCAGTCCCACGGGTTACTGCTCTGTTATATAATCATACACAACCCAGATCAGTCCCACGGGTTACTGCTCTGTTATATAATCATACACAACCCAGATCAGTCCCACGGGTTACTGCTCTGTTATATAATCATACACAAAAGGAAACCCTTCATAGTGCACCTGTATAGAGTAAGGTCAGACGAAAAAATTGATGTGTTTCCTGTAAAATGTTGGACAAATTTAGGGTAGGTAGGTAGGTAACAAACTTGATTTTAACAAATAATTTATATGGTTTATATAGGAGAGTGATCTTGAATTTAAAAATTTTTAAATATTTTTTGTCTGGTCTTACTTTACGGGTTAGATCACCTATAACATTCAAGGCAAATCCTTGCCATAGAATGCAAGCTGTTGTTAGCAGGTTTATTTATAGTTGTATGATGTTAAACTTTGTGTTGGATAGCAAATTAGTTTGCCCCTTAGATGTTTATATTTGTACACACATGTAATCAAAACTACATTTATATACACTTACAGGAGTCAACTGAAAACACAGAAACTCCAGCCTACCAAGATGGACAGGATGCAGTGACCACAGATGATCTGACTGGCGACTTCAACCTTGACCTCCCACAAAGGAAGAAAAAGAAGAAGAAGAAGAATGTGGACTTTGAGGCCATAGAGGATCCTGACGAAGCAGATGACGGTGGGACATATATGTTTTGTTCCAATAGTCAAGGGTTTCAATATTGCTGTAGCTAACTTTTTCATGATCTCTAGATCTACATCATTTGAAAAACCTTATATTTGGAAAAAGTGTTGCATTTCTTGTTAAGACTTCAAAATATGTAAATGCCTCAATTGATCGCAAGCTAAGCTTTTGGAAAAAATAGAATCATAGGAAAACTCATCAATACTGAAAAAGGTAGCTTTAGTAGACATTTTAAATGAGTTTAAGGGATGGGGTAGGTAGCTTTAGTAGACATTTTAAATGAGTTTAAGGGATGGGGTAGGTAGCTTTAGTAGACATTTTAAATGAGTTTAAGGGATGGGGTAGTTAGCTTTAGTAGACATTTTAAATGAGTTTAAGGGATGGGGTAGTTAGCTTTAGTAGACATTTTAAATGAGTTTAAGGGATGGGGTAGGTAGCTTTAGTAGACATTTTAAATGAGTTTAAGGGATGGGGTAGGTAGCTTTAGTAGACATTTTAAATGAGTTTAAGGGATGGGGTGTTCTGAAAAATGTTTTGTGCTTCATGTAAGGGATTGGGCTGTAAATAGTTTGAACACAATGTTACTGGGTGTGCATAATAAATAGATGGGGCTGGACCTCAGGAAACAAATGGACAGTTTAATAATAAGTAATCTTTTTTTCAGATGATACCATAGATGCCAGGGATGACAGAGTGTCTGGTAACGTTCCTGAGGGTAAATCCTGGCTCGGATCAGATAGAGATTACACATATGACGAGGTGAGGGTCATTTAAATCTAGGAATAGCAGGTCAGATTGTCTGGTAACATTCTTGAGGGTAAATCCTGGCTCGGATCAGATAGAGATTACACATATGACGAGGTGAGGGTCATTTAAATCTAGGAATAGCAGGTCAGGTTGTCTGGTAGCGTTCCTGAGGGTAAATCCTGGCTCGGATCAGATAGAGATTACACATATGACGAAGTGAGGGTCATTTAAATCTAAGAATAGCGGGTCAGATTGTCTGGTAACGTTATTGAGGGTAAATCCTGGCTGAGGTCAGATAAAGTTTACTCGTATGACGAGATGAGGGTCATTTAAATCTAAGAATAGCAGGCCAGATTGTCTGGTAACGTTCTTGAGGGTAAATCCTGGCCGAGGTCGGATAGAGTTTACTCATATGACGAGATGAGGGTCATTTAAATCTAAGAATAGCAGGCCAGATTGTCTGTAGCATTCCTGAGGGTAAATCCTGGCTGGGGTTGGATAGAAATTACACATATGACGAGGTGAGGGTCATTTAAATCCACAATTAGAGATACAAAGTGTCTGGTAACATTACCGAGGGTAAATTCTGGCTCGGATCAGATATAGATTACACATATGATGAGGTGGGGGTAATTTAAACTAAGAATAGCGGGACAGATTGTCTGGTAACATTCTGACGCCTAATGCTGGTGGGTGTTGTGTCAGTAATAATGAAAATTCTTCATATCTACCATGATAATATAGATGGGCTACTAGGGCTTGTAGAATTTTTGAAAATCTGCCTTTGTACTAGTAATCTAAATAACAAATTGGACACCCCTGTACGTGTATCATTGCCCCATGTATTTGTGGAAACATTTGTATTGTTTTGTGTCTACATTGAAATACATGTATGTGTATCTGTATTGTTTTTACCTCGACAGTTGTTATCCAGAGTGTTCGACATCATCAGGGAGAAGAATCCAGACATGGTTGCTGGTGAAAAGAAAATTTTCAAAATGCGGCCGCCACAGGTCCTTAAAGTTGGAACTAGGAAAACGTCGTTTGCTAACTTTGCAGATATTTGTAGATTGTAAGTACCATTTTAATAAAAAAATTGAAATATCTCCATAGAAACTGATTCAGTTTTCCAGCTGTGTTTACAGAAATTTCTATGGACTGTATAGTGAAATGACAATTTCTTCCACAATCGGTGGTGGTTCCATCACAAGCCACATCTACTAGACTTTGGTGGGACAGTCATAGCTCTATATTCTTATATCACGCTACCACAATTGAAACAATTTGGACAGTTTTCCACTGTTATTTTGAAATTCAGATCTTGTATCAGGAATGTTTCCTGATTCATGACAGAGACTACATATGGTTCTTTTCAGGAAAAGTTTTGATTTTAAAGTAATTTGTTTTTGAAAATATTAATGCTAAATTTGCAGTGAGATTTCGCTCTTTTTTCAGCCATGAACAGTACCCAAATTGGTACACCATATCACATGCTCTGAGACTTTTTTTTATTATTCTACTACTGATATGCCGTTTGCAACAAAATTATATTGTTTTTATAAATACCACACTGAACTACATTTGTAAACAGTCATAGTGTACTCTTCAAATGTTGCTGTAAACAAAACTATTCTGTGGAAATGCTGATAAGTATCTCCATTGTTATACCATCAGGGGATATTATACAAGTTTTATTTAAAAGTAATATTCGAACCATTTTCTGCCGGTGTACCAATTTGGGTAGTCACTTGCTCTGTGATGTTATCAGCAAAAGTGATGGCAACCACGGTAAAAAATAATCCAGTATCAAACCCTTACTATCACCTGGATGGGAAACAACCTGTCAAGTATTGATTAAGGTGAAGTCCCTTTTGAATAGTGCCTATACTGGCATGTGTTAACCCTTTCACCCCTATGTAACTTTAGTAAACTCTACCATGCAATGATCTAGGCGAGTCCATTATGGTCCATAGTGGTGAAAGGGTTAAAAGCTCCTATCTTCTACCTATCTCCATGTAAACGTAACCCTGTTCAATTTCTCTTGCAGTTTACACAGACAGCCCAAACATGTCCTCGCGTTTTTGTTGGCAGAATTGGGAACAAGGTTTGTTGGTTTATTATTACCACACTGTTCTTATATACATAGAACACCTATTTATGTTTCTGGTATAATTATATCATGAGGAGGATTTTAGCTCACCAGTCCATGTCCTACATTGCCCATCTGTTTATGTCTACTTTTCCTTAGATAGACTCGTTCAGAATTAATGGAGGGATTTGGATTGCGACAGAGAATCCCTAGGTCAAAGAGTTTCAATGTTGTAAAAATTAAGGTTATGGTCCCTCTAAAGCGAACATTTTGAAGGTGACTTAATAAGATATGGACGAATGAATGTTAATGCAATTAGGTGTGTATTTCAAGCATCTTTATGCATTTGCTAATACTGTTAAATAAAAGGACAAGGATACAGGCCAATGGTGCCTTTTGTTCCATCTGTAGTTTTCCTGTTTAATAGTTAGATATCATGTGTTAAGTTGATTTTATATTTTTTTCAGTGGATCTGTTGACGGAAATAACCAGCTGGTCATAAGAGGAAAGTACAACCAGAAACAAATTGAAAACGTTCTTAGGCGATATATCAGTAAGTATTAGTTAGTATTGACGATATATCAGTAAGTATTAGTTAGTAGTGACGATATATCAGTAAGTATTAGTTAGTTATATCAGTAAGTATTAGTTAGTATTGACGATATATCAGTAAGTATTAGTTAGTATTGACGATATATCAGTAAGTATTAATTGATTTTACTTGACATTGACGATATATCAGTAAGAATTTGTTAGTTTTACTTGACATTGACGATATATCAGTAAGTATTAGTTACTTATATCAGTAAGTATTAGTTACTTATATCAGTAAGTATTTGATCATTTTTCTTGACATTGACGATATGTCAGTAAGTATTTGTTAGTTTTTCATGACATTGGCGATATATCAGTAAGTAGTTGTTGATTTTACTTGACATTGACAATATATCAGTAAGAATTGGTTAGTTTTACTTGACATTGACAATATATCAGTAAGTATTCGTTAGTATTGACGATATATCAGTAGTGATTGATAGGTATATCAGTAAGTATTAGTTAGTAATGACGATATATCAGTAAGTATTAATTGATTTTGCTTGACATCGACGATATATCAGTAGGTATTAGTTAGTTATATCAGTAAGTATTAATTGATTTTGCTTGACATCGACGATATATCAGTACGTATTAGTTAGTATTGACGAAATATCCGTAAGAATTAGTTAGTATTGACGAAATATCCGTAAGAATTAGTTAGTATTGACGATATATCAGTAGGTATTAGTTAGTTATATCAGTAAGTATTTGATCATTTTTCTTGACATTGGCGATATATCAGTAAGCATTAATTGATTTTACTTGACATTAACAATATATCAGTAAGTATTAATTGATTTTGCTTGACATCGACGATATATCAGTACGTATTAGTTAGTATTTACGATATATCAGTAAGGATTTGTTAGTTTTACTTACATTAAGACATTCTTAATGTTATGATCAGGGATGCCAGTTTTTGAGTAATTTATGTACGAACAAGTACAGTGTACAGTCTGAACTAAGCTAAGGTTCCCCACTTTGTAGGGTACTTTAAAACATGTCAATGTGTATGGTAATTTATAACATGTCAATTTGTAGGGTACTTTATAACATGTCAATGTGTAGAGTACTATGTAGGGTACTTTATAACATGTCAATGTGCAAGCAACTCTAGTTACAAAGTAGCAATGCACACTACATTAGCTATCAAAAGACAATGTGCAGATTTAAACTAGCTATCATAAGACAATGTGCATATCTACATTAGCTATTCAAAGACAATATACAGTTTACACTAGCTAATGTGCAGTAACAAAATAGAGAAATATATCTGGTGTCAACAGTTACAAAAAATGTGAAATATGGCTTTAATTCTGTTTCCAGAGGAATATGTGACTTGCCACACATGTCGATCACCCGACACCCTCCTTCAAAAAGACACGCGACTGTTCTTCCTACAGTGTGAAACGTGTGGATCAAGGTGTTCTGTGGCTAGTATCAAATCAGGATTCCAGGCCGTCACAGGCAAACGTGCTGCAATTCGTGCTAAGACTGCGTAAGATTATAAAAAATGGACACAAAAAGATGTGCAAAGAAAATACAAATAAACATACACTTCATTGCATAGGAATACACATAGGGAACATCATCAGTGACTACTAGTTCTTTGTGAAAAATTCAATTGTATGGAAATTAAATTAAATTAGTTTTTCCAGCATTTGTGTAATTCTCTTTAAAGTTATAATTCTAAATATTACGTTTGTGGAATAACACGTCCTTGTGATCAATTCTATTGGCTCCACCTAAGAAGTTTCTTGAATTCGGCAATTTAGGTAATTTAGGTTCGCAGGTTTATGGTGTTGAAGAGAAGAAATAACCCATGTTGTTTATTATATCGAGTGTATGTGATCCGTTGTATGCTTGGAAGATCAATTGGAACTTTCTGATGCATATCCATTTCATACTCAATGAAGCATGGCAGAATATTTATGATTATTGCAATTAAAACGTAATTCATTTGTTTTGTGGCATTTGTTTTTCTGTACCATTCTTAATTAAGGAAAGGATGGGGATAATATTATTATAACAACTTGTATGTAATAGTGTTGGTTCCCCTGTTTTAAACCATTTCTTCTCATCATAAAGTTACCCACATACATATATCATGCTTAGTCGCAAAGGGCTTGTGAGGTTATTAAATGATGCATCATCAGTTGTATATCTGGCAAGTCCCAAATTGCAGTCTTTAAGAATAATGACTTTCAAGTTTGTTTAAATAAATTACTTTTTCCCACTTGCCAGGTCACAGGGATCAATATGTTAAAATCTTCAAACAACTTTCATATAAAAGTTAAGAGTATTGATATTTGGCCTCTTAGCTTGATAGTGTGAATGGCGATCTGTTTTAAAAATAAATTTACTTTACCAACTTGACAAGATACAAGAAACTTTATTTAAAGTTGCATGCATGTAAACAAAGAACATTTGCTCCTGAGAGCTATTATTGCGACAAACATGTCAAATAACAATAACACATTCTATCACAAGTAAAGGGAGATAATCACATATACACTATTATGGTATTTTGAACTTCTGATTGTTCATTATCATGTTAACATTGCGTGTCACTGTGTCAAATGTTTTATAAAAGTTAAAACGATGTTTTTTTTCAAAGGTACTTAAGGCCTTAAACAACCTAGAACTCCACGCTACATTGTGTCATTGACGGATATGTTTTCTCCCATAACAACAATAGGTTTCCTTGCCCCCTACCTATCGGATCAAATTGCTAGGAATTGGTAAACACTGGTTAACTTTCATCAACCTTTGACCAACCGATGTCTTGACGTTATTTCATCGGTCAAACTTCTAATTGCGACGTCGTTATCTTCTATTGTAACATCAACTCATATTAAACCGCAAGTATCCCCCCCATCGGAAACAGGAATAATTTTCGCTGTGAAATGCATTATCAATTATGCATTTCACAGTAATATATGGTGAATCTAGATATCATATGAGCGTACTGAGAAAACGGCCGGTAAACCTGGTGTCTATACAATTTGAAAGTTAACTAACTCTTGTCAAAATTGTTCCGAAACGTGTGGAAAACGGTGAAAAAGGGAAAGATTTTCATATCTTATTCTACAAGGTCTTCATAAGGTAATAGATCATTCATAACGTTTGGCCACAACAGATTATTTTATTTCACATTTAAGCTAGTATTTTATCTTACCAGTGCCAGAATAGACTACAGCTTACCTTGGGCACTGATGGTTCGCAAACAGAGACAACCACCTTAGAAACAAGAGTACGGCAGGGCAGAACAATATACGCCCGTCAAATGACATATAGTGTTATATACTTTCTTACATTGAAATAAGATCTGCATCATTCTAAGAGTGGTTAGCTGACTGGAGAAGAAAATCTCGCGGACAAAAAATCAAATACTGAAATGAACAAAGGGCAATAACTTGCAAAGATCGGCGAATCAAATACTTTTAAGGGAGACACAACTTCATATCATGATTATAATGTATACTAAGTTTCAAAGAGATCCGTCGAAAAATGTAGAAGGAAATCTCCGGACAAAAAATCAAATACTGAAATGAACCAAGGGCAATAACTTTATGAAAACTTATCGAATCAAAATTCTTTTAAGGGAGACACAACTTTATATCATGATACAATGTATACCATGTTTCAAAGAGATCGGTTGAAAAATGTAGGAGGCATTGCCGGACAAACAAAAGTTTACGCCGGACAGACGGACAACCCAATACCTTAATACTTCCGTCAAATGACGGACGTATAAAAACAATAGAAATATGATTATATGAATACAATCTGTACAATCAAGAGATCAGAAATTGTTTTTTTTTTAAATTTCATCGATGCCGTAATATTTACATAAACAGTTCAGGAATATAAGTGTTTCAAATGGAATTCAGCTTGTAAATAATTCTCTTTCTTAATTTGTCTTGCCTTGTAGAAATTAATAATTGATGTCGAAGACTGTTTGTACACATGAGCGTATATATATAAAAAATAAGAATAAAAACCGGATCACTTTCGATTGGTGCATACATTTATTTACTTGTGTATATATTACAATATGTGGATCCTCCTAGATAAACATACAGAAGTAAATAATAATAATAATAATAAAACTTTATTCATGAGGATAAAATAACCTGTTTAGCCGAGGCTAATCTTCCACGGGGTCCTCTTGTTAGTAAAACATGGTAGGTTTTAAAATACATGGTTATTTGGTTACTAACAAAATATGTTATAAGATTTATGATACACTTATCACAGATACATATTTAAAATTATCACAAAATGCACAAGGGTTCAAGCATATAAAGTAGCATTAAAAGATATGAGTCCCATATACATAAATAATATAGTAAAGTTTAAAAATTGACACAATTATATGCTAATATAGCAGAGAGAAAAACATATTTCCAGCATTGGAAAGAATCCATTTTTTATTATTATTTAAGGGTCCAAATTATGGGGTGCTATTTTGGAACATAGAAAAAGCAGTTTCATTCTTATTTTCATTTGAAAAATTGTAGAAAGTCATGGACATACCTTATCATTTACTACATCTTAGCGCTTCAATACCATCTCTAATTACGCAAACATAACTTCTCCTCTATTCCTTATTATACAAATGGTCACGATTCACGGCAGGTCTGTACCCCGATTTAAATATACTGTAGTAAGAGGTTGACATTTTCGCAAGTTTAACAATATATGATGGATACAAAGACGGTGAAACGGGTGGAATATTTCGTTCGGAGTATTCAAACCGAGAGGTCAACTCAACTAAAATAAAGGTCAATTGATGATCACTTGTCAAGAGTTTTCATGTCTTCCTAATCTCGTCAATTAAATGTGGAATACCACCAATCACAAGATTGGAAAACCAACGCACCGTCACTCATTAAAAATAACCCTCATATAAGTATCCTCTGGGAAAATAACTACAGATAAGAATATCTGATAATTTCTGGAGGTTGTGCGCTTCACAGTTCAGACCAATACATGACAACGTAATAGATGGTGATTTCGATTCCTACGTCATAACACAGAATACGACATCCTCGATACTGCAGTGGTAACGCTCACTTTCGCTCTCTGTACCCCTGGAATAAGTCCTAGCAAAGTTGAAGGCTCATTGTATACCACCTTGTAAATGAGACGAGAAGACTAGTTTGATCCTTTGATGTACACCAAAAAAATATGTCGGTCGCGTAACGGTAAACTTGACTTGCTTTGAAGTTGGGTGTCGCTCCTCTGTAATCTTCAAAGAACAGGTATCAGCCTTACCGATTGGTCAGGGTTTTTTCCTGAGACCAATCAAATAGCTAGCCGTGTGCCTTCAATTTTGCTATGAAAAATTCCAGGGGTGCAGAGAGCGAAAGTGAGCGTAACCAATGGAGTATCGAGCATGGGGATTAGATTGCTTTATAAGTCCGTGGTCGTACTATCGAGGTTTGACCCCATGAACACATTTGATCCGAATTTTACTCTCGCGTGACGTCACACATCAGTTTCTCTGTCATCTTCACTGTCGTCGTCATCATCATCGTCGTCGTCGTTGTTGAAGACAGACGGATATTTGTTTCTGAGATGCGCTATCACGTTGTGGAAATCTAGAATATACAAGGCGGCAAGAAGTTTACCAGGCGTGGCGGCGTCACCTCCCCGATGTTTCCATTCCAGCAAGCCCTCGTGCATTTTCTCTCTCGTCGAGCTCACCTCACTATCCAGTTGTTTAGTGTAAGTATAAGCCTGCTTGTCGCCGATACCTAGTGTCAGGAGGTAAATATCAATTAAAAAAACACCCAAAAACCACTTTATTTTCAACTGTTGCCTTATCGGTTGATGCAGAATACCAACGTATGTGCAGCGTTTTCTGGTGCACTTTTTTTCCAAGTGCATTATTACAGATATCATGACATAATGATATTCTTTCAGTTTTTTTATCGCTAGAGTAAACGAGAAATTATTATTTTACTTAGGCAGGAATGAAACGACATAGGCGCAATTTAGTTCAAGAACTCCTGGTACACATTTGTTTTAGGAAGATATACACAATAACACCAGAACAGCATTTTACAGAGTTAATATACCTCACAAGGCGTCACCCCACATACTCTAAATCACTATCTCCCATACCGTATACAATAATTCAACCAAGGATTGCCAAACCGGAACACATTATTGTAATTTGTCAATGGTCTCGGTGTAATTTTTTCTTTTCGTCCACATATTGCTGTTAGTTTTATCGATTTTGAGTTAGAATTAACGGCTTTACGGTATTATTTCGTAGAATATGCCCCATATCACCCAATGCCTGTGTATAACTCGATGTTGATTGTGCTTTAAGCACTAACGTGGCAGCATTTCATGAAATATCTCTCTTATAAACGGATCGTCACACATATGTACAGATCTAGCGCTCAGCAATATTCCGGTACAGGAACAATACAAAGATACCACAACTTACCGATAAACAACCGCGTGATGAGGGATTTCCAGTGTGGGGAGAGTTTCCGTGCCATGAAGCTGAATACAGAATCGTACAGAGCCTCCCATCTGTCGTCATGGGCAGACGACCACTGGAGGTTGAGTGTGGACCTGCTGTCCCTGTGGCGCCCTCCGTAGCACCCCCAGTGTTGTCCGTCGATCGTCAGTAAGGACCCGTTTGTGGACTTGTCTCCCACCTCGCTGATCGGGCGCATAGACCGCATTGAACGGGTTGTCCTCGACCTGTAACGATAAAGTATTCATTGTGGAACATACGTGGAACAGGGATATGGCCCTTATTATACGAAGTACTGTATTTTTTTTATTATATAAATACTCCATTGTATGGGGTAATGGTGACATCGGAGGGGGGATTTAGGCACTGCCGCCTTTTCCTGTATTCAATATATACTTTGTTGCATCAAAGGTCCAAACCAAATATTTAAAAAAAGTAAAAAATATTGTATTCAAATCAACCACAACAGCAATAAATGCTAATTGTTCATCATAAAATCGAAGTGATATCGAAGCCCGATTTGAATTTTATTCTGTTGATGCAGAAAGCCAAAAAGTTAAAATTTTACTAAACGATACATCCATTTTCTCATTTAAACGCCCATCAAAGTATTTCGCCAAGTATTTATCAATATAACGAAAGAGGAAGTGCCTATTAAACTGTTTTCAACTTTTGGATGAAGCAGATACTATATTTATCATTTAACAAGGATTTCATGAAAATCGTGGCAGAATGATTTCCAGCTACAAAGTTGCGACCACCGTAGTGGACTAATAGTCAACCACCTTGTTGTGTGAAATAATAATCAGAAGAAATAAGAAGCGGAATGAGGAATCAGCTGTTTAACACATTAGTATGCCGATGCTGTCAGCCAAGCAACGTGAAGAGATTACTGGTCCATATCTCCTCCGTTAATGATTCAGCAGTGGAAATAAAGGTCGAAAGAACGAAAATCGATCTCTGTTCCAAAACATATGCATAGTATACAAATAAAACACAGCTAAAGGGAACTGTGACTAAAAGGCTAGGAGTGCAGAATTCCTTGTCTGATGTTACCAGTCTCACAGACACGAGAAATAGTCATCGGCTTGGTCTTACACAGAGGGGAAACCTGGGAAATAATAATCGAGGGAAAAGACTCAGAAAATAGTCACCGCAGCTTGGTCTTACACCGAAGGAAAGCTTCGGGAAATAGTCACCGGTTTGGTCTTACACCGAGGGGAAAGCTTCGGGAAATAGTCACCGGTTTGGTCCTACACCGAGGGGAAAGCTTCGGGAAATAGTCACCGACTTGGTCTTACACCGAAGGAAAGCTTCGGGAAATAGTCACCGGCTTGGTCTTACATAGAGGGGGAACCTGGGAAATAGTAATCGGTTTAGTCTTAAACCAAGGGAAAAGACTCAGGAAATAGTCACCGCGGCTTGGTCTTACACCGAAGGAAAGCTTCGGGAAATAGTCACCGACTTGGTCTTACACCGAGGGAAAAGCTTCGGGAAAAAGTCACCGGTTTGGTCTTACACCGAGGGGATATCTGGGAAAGAGATTTATCACCAAAGGAAGACAGTTTTGATCTGATTAATAAAGCTTGAACAGCAATATTGTTTTTATTGCAAGGGTGTTAATTACTTTTTCGATGGATCAGTGTTAGACAAAATGTTAGCAATGAACAATGTGTCTCGACCAATCAGACAGGATAGCACTAATGTCACATAAAGTGTTATCGTATATTATACTGACCTCATACTTGGGGAAAGGCTGGAGGCGTCACTGAAGTAGAAGGAGGACAAACCATCATGGGCGTAGGCGTACTGTAGCGAGGAGTGGTCTGTGTACAGGTGGGAGGCGTTCAGGGTCCCATTCATACCCTTCATCACGTGGTACTTCTGTCGCCAGCAGTATAGCTTGATTAGCACTAGAATCAGCACGAACAGCACGATGGCAAACACCAGCACCAGCACGACAACCAGGGGGGAATCTGGTCCTCGTATAGCTACAATGGGAAGTACAATATACACTCGAGCATAAAAACCAGGGGAAAATCAGGTCCTCGTATAGCTACAATGGAAGTACAAGGACGAAAACCAGGTTTAATCTCGTCCGCAGACATTTATAATTAAAAGAACAAATTACGCACCAGCACGACAACCAGGGAAATTCGGCCCATGTACAGCATTAATTCGATGTATAGGATTCACAACAATTGCAAGAGTTTTAATTATGGTTTTATTTCTCCTCGGCAATTTGGTGAAAAGGGATTTCATCGAAGACGAATATATAAAGGGCAAAAAGGGTCCCTATTCTTTACCTAAGATACTTGGACTCATGACATCATTTCTTTTAATTTGTTTGTTAGCCTCCTACCTTCCCTTTTTTTGCATTCTCGTGTCGAATTTAAGCTCTGGTGTTGTTCTTTTTTCGTTTAAGTTGATAACTTATTATCCAAGGAAAAGTATTTTTGTCATTCTATGTTGCTTTTTAAACTTCAAATAGTCAAAGTGGGTTCTTAAAAAGTGACTCAATGTTGGCATACCTAGGTGTCTATAGCTCACCTTCTATTCCAAGTGATTTGTTCCGACTTAAGTCGTCGGAACTCCACTGTATTCCACATACAGTATTGTGAGTGACGTCACACTCTAACAGGACCTCGTACGCCCCGCACGTGCTGCAGCTCTGACACCGTTCAGTAGCAGACGATACGTCGGAATACGTGCAACTAGGACGGCACGACTCACAAATGGTATTGTTTGTCTTGGAACCTTGAGTTAAGGAAGGAAAAATTTAAAAAAAGAAGATTTTAATTGAAGTTTTTTCAAACAAATCCTTTAAAAAGATTAATACCACATTTCCAGCACTGCAAATTATAAAGGCGTTATTGTGTGACATTACTTTGAGCAAAGCTTTTCACGTGATTACAGTAACTGAACGTATACACAAGATTTTGCCATGGAAACGGCTGGCTTCAGGTAAGTAATTTCGTTGTATTTTTTCAAACCAGCGATATAAAGCACATCCCCCTACAAAACATGGTCAACCATTGTCACGTGGCCAAATGCTCAGTAAAGCCAAAAATCATAAGTAGTGGTAGTTTCGTACAGTCACGTACGTATTTTGATTTATATGCTTAAGTCAAAACCCCAGTGCTGATTTGTGAATATACATCTTCTCAGGTGAGATGTCTATATAATGTTTCAATATTATATTTTGACAAAAATTATTTCGCTTTGCCTGCTAATAGTAGATGTATATCGTTCACATTGATATTTGAAATAGCAGTGTACACGCTAGCATTTTCAGAATATATTTTCGGTTTGCAAGTCCAGAGAAGTTTAGTAACTTTCCACTTCTTAAATGATATTGTAATTTGTTTTGTTGAAGATCTTTTTTAGATCAACCAATTAAAACGTCGGATTAGAAGTAATGAATTGTTGGTGATTGCTTTTCCAGCTTTGTGATAGGTTGAACATTTTAAGTTCAGGAAGGGGAGATAACTGTAGCTTCTCGCGCCTTACAACACGAATCCAATACAGTTCGTTAGCAATATTAACATTGACTCACCAAGTCGCGAGACTCCGTACCCTTTGTCACATTTGGTGTGAGGGAAACAAGCCTCAAAGTTGCCTTTTTTTCGTCGGCTGTAGTAGTAACCATCAGGGCATTCACAAATGGCATCCGACATACCGGAACAAGGGGAGGTAACTACCATACGCATGACGGAGCATGCCACGGAACAGGGATGACACGTGTCCGCCCTGTTGTAAGTGTCTGAGTAATAATTGTCTGGACACATCCGACAACTGGCCACGTGGTAATTCTCCGTACAGTCCGCACTCCAATACGTCCCAGGTGGACACTTCAGGCACGTAATTCCCGCCATCGTTACATATGTCAAATTCGACCAGCTCTAAAGGAAGGAAATAGAGTAACAGAGAGGTTGTTATTGTTGTTGTTGTTATTTATCATCAATCAAAATCAATCAAAATATATTGTTTTGGTGATTAATTGTCCAAACTAAATGACTCCATATTTTTTTCGTTTATTTTTTAAAACTTTCTTATCATGGAAAAAGGATCCTCTCTAGACACTAGCTATCCCGTTGATTAAAAAAGACAGCTTCTTGAAAACGGTTTTCCCGCTTTAAACCAATTTCCAACCTAGTCGCACATACTCGGAACTTTCCGACAAGTTTTCCGGAAAGACCCGAACTTGATTTTAACATTACTGATACTTACGGAGTTGAAGGCGCTGGTGACAAACATTTGGTACAGGAGAGTGATCAATATAAACCGCTGAATTTGCCAAATCATCTGACAAATTTGGATTAGAAATCTGCAAGTAAACAAATATATATATATATACATATTTCATTTATAATTAGACTGGATTACCTGCCGTAATACCATTTCTGTCCGCTAGGCTCTGCTCTTTGATACATTTGTGTTTTCGAAGCGAAGCATGTCAGAGTGTGGAAAAACTAGGGCAGGCAATCCAGTATAATAACCGAACTACACACATTGATATACAGTCAAGTCTAACATCGCCTGCTGGGTAACCGAACTAATCGGGTACGTATACTGAAACTGGTGTTAACCCACTCAAACAATCCAGTTTAATTTGGTCCTGATATGCTATTTGTAGCAAAAGATGTTCTTTCTCAACTCCAAAAATATTGTTATCATTTAAAGAAAAGATGGCTCTTCTGATAACATAAAATAAAGTTAAAAGATTTTCCAATTCTGGTATCTTGATATCACATGACACTTAAGCCCAACAATTACAAAATGTACTAAACTTTGTAAGGTTGTACTAAAGGTGAGCTGAATTGAACCTGTGCTTTTTGTGGTTCATCACTATTTGGATTTTGTTTAACTAGAAACTGTTATGAAGCCATTGTCTGTAATTTTCCTTTCTAATGACTGTAAAACGATTAAGTCTATACGAAATGACAGAGGTAACTCATCAACTGTTTCTGTTAGGATGATTGTATTGTATTAGTACTAGACTATAATTAAAACGCCTTTAGAATTATTAATAACTGTCGTGCAAATGTAACATAACTTGATTACGAGTTCAATTCTCATGAACATGTCCTACTTCAATGTTTAAAATTAGTTTCTACGGGGAGTGTCATTTATGAGAGCATAACCGCCATTGCTATTTACAGCCTAAATACGTACAACTGTATCCGTTTTGTGAATACGCGACTGGAAAATAGTCATTTAAAAACATTTTTTGACGTTCCTGTCACTTTAATCAACGCTGATTCAATATGATTATATAATTCAATTAAGAAGATATCTATTCTTAAAATACAATTGGGTAGTTTAGTTTGGTTTAGTATTGTTTAACGTCCTATCAACAGCTATGGTAATTTAAAGACGGCCTCACCTGTATGCAAGATGCATGCGTGTAGTCTATGCGTGTGTGTTTTGGGAGACTGCGATATGTTCGTGTTTGTCTCCTTATGATAGCGCAGAAGTGATGCTGACTTTATAGTGCTACCTCACTGAAACATACTGCCGAAGACATCCAGCAGGACACCCCACCCGTTCACATTATACTGACAACGGGCGAACCAGTCGTCCCACTTCTAAATTGCTGAGCGCTAAGCATGAGTAGAAAAAACCATTTTTACAGACTCTGGTATGTCTCATCCTCGATACTGACGCTCACTTTCGCTCTCTACCTGATGTCATAGCAAAAAACCGTTACGTGACCGCGAGATTCTTTTGATGTACATCAAAGGATCGAACTAGTCTTCTTTTCTCATCAACAAGGTGGCGCACACTGAGCCTTCAATTTTGCTATGACATATTCCAGGGGTGTAAAGAGCGAAAGTGAGCGTAACCCCTGGATATCGAGGATGGGTATGTCGCGGCCAGGGGACAGAACCCAAAAAAAGATCAGCTTTGCATTACATCAGCGTTGCATTATCTTTTAATTGAAGATACTATAAATAAAGACCATGCTCGCCGATAATAGCGGGGGATTTTGAATTGTAGAGGGAAAAAATCAATCATAATTGCCATTTTTACATAAAAACGAAAACATAAGCGATAAACTGAATAGATGTTGCAGACATACTGGTATAACTGCTACATGTGTCACATCCTGCAGTTAGGGCGTAAGAATTGTACCTGCTGCCCCCATTGCGTGATCGTAAGGGGCAACTTTTAAATTTGGGATCTTATCTTTTCTCTTCTTTCTAAACAGCTTTCTTCTTCCTAATGTATACCTTGACAATGCCTCACTTTTGGCCTTTTATTGATCGTTCGTCCCTGTGAGGAAGGCTTTGGGTTCAGTCCCCTGGCCGAGACATACCAGAGTCTGTAAAAATGGTAGTTTCAACTCCTGCCTAGCGCTCAGCAATTTAAAAGTCGGACGACTGGTTCGCCCGTTGTCAGCATAATGTGACCGGGTGGGTGTCCTGCTGGGTGTCTTCGGCAGTGAGGTAGCACTATAAAATCGGCATCAAACACGAACATATCGCAGCCTCCCAAAACACACACGCATAGACTACACGCATGCATCTTGCACACAGGGGAGGCCGTCCTTAAATGACCATAGCTATTGATAGGACGTTAAACAATACTAAACCAAACCAAACCACAGCCAAGCTAGGCATATCACCCTATCGCGTACCATTTAATTTGTCTAAGATACACAGCGACAGTTATACCAGTTCTGCTTAATTGTGCGCATAGATTGATGACGTGTAAACTACATATTGTGTATAGATCGAAGTGGTTTATGTATATTTCGTTGTTGTGTATGATAACAACACCGTTTGAGCCTTGACATAAGTATAGAGTTGGTATTCAGAAATATTTGCAGAGTAACATATTCGATACTGCTACCATTGTCCAATACTGCAATTCATCCTGTCGCTACGTGTTGAACACACGACATAGCGTGGTGCCTAACATTGATAATCAGTGATTTATATCAGGTATACACCGACATATGCCACTAACACGTCATTGTGTTATCTACTGGTGAGCATAGAATGATTATCTCCCTTGTTTTCCTGATCGTCGATACAGATTTTATCTATTTATAAATATGAAATAACACTCCATTTACATTCATTAAATTATATTAAAGATAAACAATACAATTATTTTATTCGTTCTTAGATTGACAATTCTGACATTTTACAGCCAAAAATATTTCTCTCAACTTCAAAACACATATTATATGAATATAATAGCAATGTAATCCTTCACTAACATGTGTATTACTTACATGTGTGTTACTTACATGTGTGTTACTTTCATGCGTGTTACTTACATGTTCGTCACTAACATGTGTGTCACTAACATGTTCGTCACTAACATGTGTGTTACTAACATGTGTGTTAATAACATGTGTGTTAATAACATGTTCGTCACTAGCATGTGTGTTACTTTCATGTGTGTTACTAACATGCGTGTTACTTACATGTTCGTTACTAACATGTGTGTTACTAACATGTGTGTTACTTACATTTGTGTTACTTACATGTGTGTTACTTACATGTGTGTTACTAACATGTGTGTTACTAACATGTTCGTCACTAACATGTGTGTTAATAACATGTGTGTTAATAACATGTGTGTTACTAACATGTGTGTTACTAACATGTGTGTTACTTACATTTGTGTTACTTACATGTGTGTTACTTACATGTGTGTTACTAACATGTGTGTTACTAACATGTTCGTCACTAACATGTGTGTTAATAACATGTGTGTTAATAACATGTGTGTTACTAACATGTGTGTTACTGACATGTGTGTTACTAACATGTGTGTTACTGACATATGTGTTACTAACATGTGTTACTAGCATGTGTGTTACTTACATTTGTGTTACTTAAATGTGTGTTACTTACATGTGTGTTACTAACATGTGTGTTACTAACATGTTCGTCACTAAGATGTGTGTTAATAACATGTTCGTCACTGGCATGTGTGTTACTGACATGTGTGTTACTTACATTTGTGTTACTTACATGTGTGTATCTTACATGTGTGTTACTCACATGTGTGTTACTAACATGTTCGTCACTTACATGGGTGTTAATAACATGTGTGTTACTAACATGTGTGTTACTAACATGTGTGTTACTAACATGTGTGTTAATAACATGTGTGTTACTTACATGTGTGTAACTAACATTTGTGTTACTAACATGTTCGTCACTAACATGTGTGTTACTTACATGTGTGTTACTTACATGTGTGTTACTTACATGTGTGTTACTAACATGTGTGTTACTAACATGTGTGTTACTTACATGTGTGTTACTTACATGTGTGTTAATAACATGTGTGTTACTTACATGTGTGTAACTAACATTTGTGTTACTAACATGTTCGTCACTAACATGTGTGTTACTTACATGTGTGTTACTTACATGTGTGTTACTTACATGTGTGTTACTAACATGTGTGTTACTTACATGTGTGTAACTAACATTTGTGTTACTAACATGTTCGTCACTAACATGTGTGTTTCTAACATGTGTGTTAATAACATGTGTGTTACTTACATGTGTGTTAATGACATGTGTGTTAATAACATGTGTGTTACTAGCATGTGTGTTACTTACATGTGTGTTACTTACATGTGTGTTACTAACATGTGTGTAACTAACATGTTCGTCACTAACATTTGTGTTAATAACATGTGTGTTAATAACATGTGTGTTACTAACATGTGTGTTGCTAACATGTTTGTCACTAACATGTGTGTTACTAACATGTGTTACTAGCATGTGTGTTACTAACATGTTCGTCACTAACATGTGTGTTACTAGCATGTGTGTTACTAACATGTGTGTTACTAACATGTTTGTCACTAACATGTGTGTTACTAACATGTGTGTTAATAACATTTGTGTTACTTACATGCGTGTTACTGATATTCGTGTTACTAACATTTGTGTTACTAACATGTGTCTTACTAACATGTGAGTTACTAACATGTGTGTAACTAACATGTGTGTTACTATTATGTGTGTTATTATTATACCTCTACTTTATTTACTCTATATAAAAGTAATTGGTTAAATCGAATATATCCCCACTTTTGCCTGACTGTGTTTTAGTCCTGTGTGTTAGTCTGGGAACTAAAACACACCTACACTCGGGTGTTTCCGCCGAGCCAATCAGGCGAGAGGTGGGCGGAGCTTGTTACCGAACTCGGAAGCGACGCGCGAGGTGGGCTGAGCTTGCTACCGAACTCGGAAGCGACGCACGAGGTGGGCGGAGCTTGCTACCGAACTCGGAAGCATTTAGCTCCATTGCCATCAAAGAGGTAGTTGGGTCGTGAAGCTATACAGCTTATGGTTTACAAATATTTTCAAGTTAAAACTATCTCTGCAGTGTGTATCGGTATAATAAAACGGTTAAAGTATGGGGTTGAGGGATATAGCAAGTTTCTGGTGTCCCTTGACCATGTTTATTTCCCTCGGCTTCGCCTCGGGAAATATACCTGGTCTTGGGACACCAGAAACTTGCTATATCCCATAACCCCATACTTTAACTGTATAATAACAGGTGTGTCAATAACATGTGTGTTACTAACATGTGTGTTATTTACATGTGTATTACTTACATGTGTGTTACTTACTTGTGTGTTACTAACATGTGTGTTACTAACATGTGTGTAACAAACATGTGTGTTACTAACATGTGTGTTACTAACAAGTGTGTTACTAGCATGTGTGTTAATAACATGTGTGTTACTAACATGTTCGTCACTAACATGTGTGTTACTAATATGTGTGTTAATAACATGTGTGTTACTTACATGCGTGTTACTAACATGTGTGCTACTAACATGTGTGTTACTAATATGTGTGTTACTAGCATGTGTGTTACTTACAGGTATGTTACTTACATGTGTGTTACTAACATGTGTGTTACTTACATGAACAACAGTATAAAAAGATATCCTTAAGTTAAACATTTGCGTTTCAACATAAACGTAACTAACCCCATTTCACTTACACGTGTGTGCTGTACCTGATATCAAATTAAAATACCTCCCTCACTTACACGTGTGTACTGTTTCTAACATCAAACTACAATATCCCATCACTTACACGTGTGTGTTCTGTTCCTAACATCAAACTACAATATCCCTTCACTTACACGTGTGTGTGTGTTGTTCCTAATATCAAACTACAATATCCCATCACTTACACGTGTGTGCTGTACCTAACATCAAACTACAATATCCCATCACTTACACGTGTATGTTCTGTTCCTAACATCAAACTACAATAGCCCTTCACTTACACGTGGGTGTTCCGTTCCTGACATCAAACTACAATATCCCTTCACTTCCCCGTGGGTGTTCCGTTCCTAACATCAAACTACAATATCCCTTCACTTGCACGTGGATGTTATGTTCCTAACATCAAACTACAATATCCCTTCACTTACACGTGTGTGTGTGTTGTTCCTAACATCAAACTACAATATCCCATCACTTACACGTGTGTGTTCCGTTCCTAACATCAAACTACAATATCCCTTCACTTACACGTGTGTGTTCTGTTCCTTACATCAAACTACAATATCCCTTCACCTACACGTGTGTGTGCTGTTCCTAACATCGAACTAAAATTTCCCTTCACTTACGCGTGGGTGTTCTGTTCCTAACATCAAACTACAATATCCCTTCACTTACACGTATGTGTTCCAATCCTAACATCAAACTACAATATCCAATCACGTACACGCGTGTGTGCTGTACACGTGTGTGTGCTGTTCCTAACAGCGAACTAAAATTTCCCTTCACTTACACGTGTGTGTACTGTTCCTAGCATCAAACTACAATATCCCTTCACCTACACGTGTGTGTTCTGTTCCTAACATCGAACTAAAATTTCCCTTCCCTTACGCGTGGGTGTTCTGTTCCTAACATCAGACTACAATATCCCTTCACTTACACGTATGTGTTCTGTTCCTAACATCAAACTAAAATTTCCCTTCACTTACACGTGTGTGTACTGTTCCTAACATCAAACTACAATATCCCATCACTTACACGCGTGTGTTCTGTTCCTAACATCACACTAAAATATCCCTTCACTTACACGTGTGTGTACTGTTCCTAACGTCAAACTACAATATCCCTTCACTTACACGTGTGTGTGCTGTTCCTAACATCGAACTAAAATATCCCTTCACTTACACGTGGGTGTTCTGTTCCTAACATTAAACTACAATATCCCTTCACCTACACGTGTGTGTTCCGTTCCTAACATCAAACTACAATATCCCTTCACTTACACGTATGTGTTCCGTTCCTAACATCAAACTACAATATCCCTTCACTTACACGTATGTGTTCTGTTCCTAACATCAAACTACAATATCCCTTCACTTACACGTGTGTGTTCCGTTCCTAACATCAAACTACAATATCCCTTCACTTACACGTATGTGTTCCGTTCCTAACATCAAACTACAATATCCCTTCACTTACACGTATGTGTTCTGTTCCTAACATCAAACTACAATATCCCTTCACTTACACGTGTGTGTTCCGTTCCTAACATCAAACTACAATATCCCTTCACTTACACGTATGTGTTCCGTTCCTAACATCAAACTACAATATCCCTTCACTTACACGTATGTGTTCTGTTCCTAACATCAAACTACAATATCCCTTCACTTACACGTGTGTGTTCCGTTCCTAACATCAAACTACAATATCCCTTCACTTACACGTATGTGTTCCGTTCCTAACATCAAACTACAATATCCCTTCACTTACACGTATGTGTTCTGTTCCTAACATCAAACTACAATATCCCTTCACTTACACGTGTGTGTTCTGTTCCTAACATCAAACTACAATATCCCTTCACTTACACGTATGTGTTCCGTTCCTAACATCAAACTACAATATCCCTTCACTTACACGTATGTGTTCTGTTCCTAACATCAAACTACAATATCCCTTCACTTACACGTGTGTGTTCTGTTCCTAACATCAAACTACAATATCCCTTCACTTACACGTGTGTGTTCTGTTCCTAATATCAAACTAAAATATCCCATCACTTACACGTGTGTGTTCTGTTCCTAATATCAAACTACAATATCCCATCACGTACACGCGTGTGTTCTGTTCCTAACATCACACTAAAATATCCCTTCACTTACACGTGTGTGTGCTGTTCCTAACATCAAACTACAATATCCCTTCACTTACACGTGTGTGTTCCGTTCCTAACATCAAACTACAATATCCCTTCACTTACACGTGTGTGTTCTGTTCCTAACATCAAACTACAATATCCCTTCACTTACACGTGTGTGTTCTGTTCCTAACATCAAACTACAATATCCCTTCACTTACACGTGTGTGTTCCGTTCCTAACATCAAACTACAATATCCCTTCACTTACACGTGTGTGTTCTGTTCCTAACATCAAACTACAATATCCCTTCACTTACACGTGTGTGTTCCGTTCCTAACATCAAACTACAATATCCCTTCACTTACACGTGTGTGTTCTGTTCCTAACATCAAACTACAATATCCCTTCACTTACACGTGTGTGTTCCGTTCCTAACATCAAACTACAATATCCCTTCACTTACACGTGTGTGTTCTGTTCCTAATATCAAACTAAAATATCCCATCACTTACACGTGTGTGTTCTGTTCCTAATATCAAACTACAATATCCCATCACGTACACGCGTGTGTTCTGTTCCTAACATCACACTAAAATATCCCTTCACTTACACGTGTGTGTGCTGTTCCTAACATCAAACTGCAATATCCCTTCGCTTACACGTGGGTGTTCCGTTCCTAACATCAAACTACAATATCCCATCACTTACACTGTTTGTACTGTTCCTAACATCAAACTACAATATCCCATCACTTACACGTGTGTGTACTGTTCCTAACATCAAACTACAATATCCCTTCACTTACACGTGTGTGTTCCGTTCCTAACATCAAACTACAATATCCCATCACTTACACGTGTGTGTTCTGTTCCTTGTATCAGACAAAATTATCCCCTTAATAATTTACCTCAAACTTCACTATTCATGACACAAAATATCACCTCAGTTCTCACAAGCGTGTCTGTACGAAATATAATAGCACGTGTTATTGATATGAAACTAAACAAAATCAGGAAAATAAAGCACCGAAATATCAATTTTTCTCCACTTGACATGTTTAATGAAAAATTAATTGAAGGGAATATGCAATCAAATGGGTGTTGTTGACCCCGGAAGATAATTCTGGATGTGACCATCGTCTCATCCCTGGGTTGTTAATATCACAGCATATCACCCCTTCATTAAAACTTATCATAGNCCATCCCCCCGCCCTTCCATCCCCCCAAGGAACCGCTACATCAAAGCCAGTAAAAAAATATAATTTTATATCACAAGCACAAATACTACTTACCTAGCCAGATAGTATGTGGGTTGTCACTTGTGTCGCTGGCCAAGGGTTCTGACAGCTGGTCGTCAATGTATCCGTATAGTTGGTTCTGGTTAAGTGAACAGGATTAATTATAATTAACATGTTATATATGAATTCATATTTGATTGTGCTTTTCTGAGTTGTGACAATAGTCGTATATCAAAACATACCATACTCTACATGGAATTAGCGCCCGTGTTGTGGACTGAATGTGTCCAGTTACAGAAAGGTCCACCTTTCCAGTACCTGCGCGAAGACGTTCGTGATTTTTTTTTATTAACTAGTCAGTTTTAATTTACTTTTATGCATGGGTTGGTTGTTTGACCAAAACGTGACACATTGTAAATTGTTTTTTTAATTGTATATGTCCTTAATTGTTAAACGGCTCTTTTTACCGATACCCTTTGTATCCGTCATTGGGAATATGTCCGATTCATTAACTTGAGTTACTAGCCTGGTGTATAAAACGTAGTCGGATAGCGTTATGACCTTTGTCTCCGCTACCCCAGGTTTAGATAAATGAGCCTATCAGGTTACTGCTCACCTGGCCTAATCTGTCAATCAAAACACATGTATAAAAGACAGGTAAATTATCAATCGGAAGATCTCGGCCATATCCGTCAAGGCTTTTTTAGTTTTTACGGAACTGGCCGAGCTGTAGCGATTTGTAGTTTTATTGCAGAAAAACCGGACCTCTTTTTATCCGGAAAGTCTTGTTTTCTAAAACCAAAATCCGAAAAATGGACTTATCTTTAATAAGGAAACATACAAACATCATTTCAACAAAATATCATCAGTGTAAATTATGTTTTAACATTATATCAAATGTACAAATAATTGGTGTTGATAGCTATGGATGAGTATAAGCAGAGACGTTATGCTACTGGCTTTAAATGTCGCTGGAGTTATCAATCTAGATCTGTCGTTATCTATAATACATTCAGGCATAAATAAATAAAAACAAGGGTATCTCCAATAAGTTCTTTGTATTAAAATGACGTTATTTGGTGTTTTTTTTCAAATGGTAGGTTGCATATTAATACAATATAATGGTTTGCGTCTTGAAATGCGTCTTACTGTGGGAAGAAACCGGGGCACCCGCAGAAAACCCATGTGGTCGGGCAGGTGACCCCATACCTATTTAAGTCCGATCGGGGAATCGAACCCCGGCTGCCTTGGTAGAAGACAAGTACGCTATCACCTGCGTCACCCGATCACCCCTGTTTATCATCTCACATGTCATACCACCAAACGGTACATTACACAGAGGTGCTAACTCCTCTCGAACTGAGCGGTTAAAATGCGGACGTATAAAGCGTGTCGGTTTGTAGATTAGCGCTCCTGACTTACAATTCTCTAAACCATTTTAATTACAAACATTTATTTGCGTTAAATATACTCGCCTAAACAATCAGGAAACGTCGGCACACCGTCAGCACTTTCCGTTTTCCGATTGTCACTTACACAGAGTGTACGGAACGCCAACTCCGGGAAGCGATTGCCTTCCGCGACGAAGTATTTTAATGAGTGCCTAATTTATGATTGGTTAGTTTAGTGAAATCCCAGAATCGATCATTTGTAAAAATAACAAAATTTTCAGCATTTTAAAAATGTTTTTGCATAGAATAAAATAATAAATAAATATTGTAAACGGTAAGTAAGAAAAGTGTCTGCATTCCTTTCTTTAACTCGGCCTACGAGTGTTTGTCTCTACTTTTAGAAGGAAAAAACCCGAAACATTAATAAAAAAAAATAACGGAAAGAAAATGACATTATACCAAAACACCGCTAAATCTACACATGTTGGGTTGGTTACCGTTTTATGAAACATTTTGGTACAAAAAAAATCTGAAAAATAGATTATTGAAATATAAAACAAATATTGTAGCGGTTCCGCTCCTGTCCCCGATTTTTAAAAATTAATTGATACATTCGTTTTCTGCTATATAACCTCGACGTTACTGTGTTAACTTAGTTACGGAGGTGGAGAGGGTGGTCAGGTGGCGCAGTGGATAGCACATGCCTTTCACCAAGACGGCCAGGGTTCGATTCCCCGATCGGACGTGGACAGGTATGGGGTCACCTTCCCGGCCGCGTGTGATTTCTCCGGGTACTCCGGTTGCCTCCCACAATAAGTAACCCCCTCCCTCC